GCTGCAGAGGCAGCTCTTAGAGCATTAAACAGGAGTGAAATTGCTGGGAAACGCATAAAACTCGAACCTAGCAGACCTGGTGGTGCTCGTCGAAAGTAAGTAATATATTCGCCACCTTAATATTATACTTGTGAAAGTTCGATTTTAGGTACTTGTGACTCTGATTTCTAATGCTATATGACTTGTACAGAAGCCATGAGGTACATGTTTGAAATCTCAGGACAGGCCTTTCTGTTTTGTTTGTTGTTCCAATTTGCTCTAGACAGCCTTGAATAAAAAATGGGTGTAGCCGCTGAATTTCCTTAAAGTAATAGAACCGTTGGAATATTTTTTTGGCCAATTGACAAAGTAAATCGCAACCTGTAGAAGGATTTTCAATCATATGCGCACCTTTTAATCCTATTAGTAAGATACCCAACGTTTCAAATCTGTTTCAAATCTATTCCAGATCCTTTAACACCTCTGCTGAGAGGGATTTTCTGTTGGATTCATTCTCAAATTCCAATTTTGTCTCGACTTTTATTTTTGGTTTCTTCTGTGATTTTTTCCCACCCCTCATCGTTCATTTTTATCTTTTAAGTTGGATAATATTTATATAGCTTCGTATCATCATTTTTCATTTACTATAATGTGTTAATTATTTTTGTAAATAAAAAAATGAAAAACTAGGTTTTCTTAAACAAAATGTCCTTAATGGAGATCCTGTAAATACATAATGCAAAAAAGGTAAAAGAGTAATTAAATTATTATAAGGAATCTAATCTTGGGATGGATTTGATATGAGTTCAAAAGGTGAGAATTTTTTTTGATAACCTAAAAAGGTGGGGATAAAATTGAAAAATGGAGGAAAAGGGAGGATTTTTATTGCAATTAGGCCTATTCTTTTACTGTTTATCTTTAACGAAGCGTTTTCAGACGAACTTTAAACTTAGTAGTTTTGTGGCATAAGGATGGGGAGAATAAGACTAGTGATTTCATTTGTTGAGTGAGTTTTTATTTAATTGGTGTCATTTAGATTGTGGTGAATCGAAAATTGAATTTCTTGCTGTAGATATGTATCTTGACTTCCTAATGTGCCAACCTTATGAGATTTCGCTCTACTTACCACGTAGTTGAAAATAAAACTATTGTACGGAAGACACTGAGAAACAGTTATTGGAGTTCCATCTTAGGCTCTCCTCATTAAGCATTGTTATGTAGCAACCTTACATGAAATTGGCTCCAGCCTCCAATGAACAGAAATAGACATACTGGAGGGCAATTAACCAATTCACATATTAGTGATTTTCCTTAAGATAGAGGTGTTTCTGGATGCTGAATATCTTGTAAAACTGTTATTTCTCTTCCACTAGCTAAGTTTTGGCTGCACCTCTCTTGTCTAGCTTGATGCAGCAACTGAGCCTAGAGCTGGAGCAGGATGAATCTCGAGCTTTCAGGCACCCAGTAGGTTCACCAATTGCCAGCTCTCCTCCTGGTTAGTATTTCAAAAAGTCAGCTAATTTCATTATGTCACTAGAATTTGCTTCTTAATCAATTAAAACACTCGAAACCCCCTGATAGGTAATTGGATACAGTTTGCGAGTCCCATTGAGCAGAGTCCTTTGCATACTTTCAGTAAATCCCCCGGACTGGGTTCTCCTAATTCTCTACAGAGCAACCATCTGCCTGGGTTAGCTTCGATTCTTTCAGCTCACTCATCTACTTCGCCAAATTATGCAGCCATTGGCAAGGATCAAGGAAGAATTAATCATGTCAACCAGATTTATACAAACGCTGATTCTACGAAAGGAGTGACCTTCCCTCATTCTAATTCTTTTCCTGAGCATAGTCTCAGCACGAGTCCTGGACCTGTTTTTCCTTTGGGTGAATCAAGTCCAAATACATCTTCTGTTGGAACTTTATCTGGTCCTCAATTTCTTTGGGGTTCTCCCACTCCATATCCTGAGCGATCCAATTCATCTGCCTGGCCCACATCTTCAGTGGGGCGTTCATTTGTCTCCAGCAGACAGGGACAGGGATTTTCATATGCCAGTCGCAATAATGCATTCATGAGTACCCAACAATTACATCATGTGGGATCTGCTCCAACTGGTGCACCTATGGACAGGCATTTTGGATTCTTCTCTGAGTCACCAGAATCGTCATTCATGAGTTCAGTTGCCTTTGGAAGGCTGGGTCGAGCAAATGGAAATTACATGATGAACGTGGGTTCTCATGGCAATATAAATGCTGGTATAGGCCTTCCTGGAAACTTAACTGAAAATGGTTCTCCTAATTTTGGAATGATGTCATTGCCTACTCATGCTCCTTCATTCTATGGAAATGGTTCATTTCCTGGGTTAGGAGAAACCAGCATTGAAGTATTAGCTGAACGCAGTCGAAGTCGGCAGACTGGTGTAAACCAGATGGACAACAAGAAGCAGTATCAACTGGATCTAGAAAAAATTATGAATGGCGAAGACACTAGAACTACATTGATGATCAAGAACATCCCTAATAAGTAAGGAGAATGTATAAACTTGTGTGATATTGCAAAACCATTGATGTGTGAAATTTCTCAACATGTCTACTACTTATCTACTTCGCAGGTACACTTCAAAAATGCTGCTTGCCGCGATTGATGAAAATCACAAAGGGACATATGATTTCCTGTACTTGCCTATTGATTTTAAGGTAACTGTACTCTGGGATTCAAAAAGAAGTGGTACTTACTATCAGTCTGCTGATTTGCTGCTGATGCTGAGGTTTACTCTTATTGCAGAATAAATGCAATGTGGGTTACGCCTTCATTAATATGGTTTCGCCTTCACACATCATTTCTTTCTTTAAGGTGTATTTTGATTCCTTATTCATTGGGAACTCCTCATGGTTAAATTGTTTTTTACTTTTCAATGCATGATCTATTGGTTGAGAGATCGACTACTAATGTTCCAGTTGGGATGGGACTTTTGGTTGAGAGATCAACTACTCATATTACTTTGAGTAGTTGTAGAGTTATTGTTGTCTTGGTGCTTAAAATTTTGAATTTTTGTGCAGACATTTAATGGGAAGAAGTGGGAAAAGTTTAACAGCGAAAAGGTTGCTTCACTGGCGTATGCACGAATCCAGGGCAAGGTTGCACTTGTCTCTCACTTTCAGAATTCAAGCTTGATGAACGAAGATAAGCGGTGCCGTCCAATTCTGTTTCACTCGGAGGGCCAGGAGACTGAGGATCAGGTAGCTTTAGAATTTTCATTCTTTGGAACTATGTTGGCATGAGCATAACTATTTTCTTTCTTTTCTAATGTTAGAAGAGGCTGCTTCGTTTTTATTAAACTATAAAACACCAAGTCAAGCGAGGGGAGTTGTTGAAAGTTCATTAAACTTTCATTTGTTATTTCAGTTACTATTTGTGTTGGGAATGATTGGAGTTGTACCTATTGCTTATACAAATCAGTTGACTACGTAGTCCTTGCATTTTTTTAATAAAAACTGGTCATAACTTATAGATGCTGAAATATGGAGCACTGGTCTAGATAGTAGTAGTTTCTTCTGATATTATAGATTTTCATTCCTTAAATCAGTGACCCTGCGAAAAGTTAGGACTGACTTTACCTCCTGCGTTTGTCATTCCTCCAGGAATCTTTACTCACTGGAAATTTGAATATTTATATTCGTCAAGCGGATGGTTCTTATGCTGGGGATTTACTGGAGAGTCCAAAGGGCAGTCTGGACGAGAAGCCCGACAGGAATTAGCAGTGCGCTACATCTCTTAGCCATGGTAAATGATGGCTTGAAAGCTAACTCCTGTATAGGTACATAACTGTACAAAATCGGAACAGAAAAGGGACAAGGTAACATAACTGTATGTATGACATGACCCAGAGTTTCAGGTGCCGGTTGAAGCTTGTAACTATCTATGAGGGGACTTCGTTGAGATGTGAAGTGGAGAGCGGCATAATCACTATTCAAAGGCATAGTGAAACATGCTGCTGGAAGAGAGTATTTGCCACCGAATGGGGAAATGCGATTGTTAGCACCATGTTAATTTGTCTCTTCTTCTGGTTCTCTTTTCTAATGTATTTAGCATCTTCAGTCATTTTTTGAGGACAATTACCTGCTCATGTTGGTATATACTCTTAGGATGAGCGAGAGGTACTGTTTTCGCAAATGTACAGAAGAGAGAACATGCCCTCTGTACTCTCTATTTGTCGTCTGTCATTGGCATGCATCTGTAAAGAACGTATATTCCATCTTTGGATGATCAAGTGACTTTATCATATTTTGTTGTGCACAAAGTGTAGATTTCCGATGCATGATGCATCTGCAGAATCCAGTTACGAATTCTTGAAGTGCATCCATGTCTATGGTTGTGACTTGACAGTTTTCAGCCAAACCCCTTGTGTTTCCAGACCACGGGAGATGAGTCGAGTACAAAGATGTTCATCGAGCAAAATTTATTCATACCCAGTCAGTAAACATATATGATGTTAATGTACGGTGATGTTAACGAGTATCTTGTAGCACTTGCGAAGGCGATGAATTTTGAGGAAAACTTTACTTTGGAAGACACTGATTAATCGTGTTATTATATTTATCTAGCGATATTGAAAACTGGTTCATATTATGTCATAAGATGAGTTAGGACAATAATGCATGGCATTCTTCCAAATACCAGTTGTGACATGTTTTTCTGAGGGGCGTGAGCATGCACTCATATACACCGCTCTCGTTCCTCCATTCGTGCAGTTGAGAAAAGTTCAAGGGAGAGAAGATGCTGCATTATTCTCTGTGAACCATTGTGAGTAATGTGGTCAAATGTTCAAGTGGACAGCCAAAGCAAAATTTTAACATTTTCTAACCTCATGAAATAGAAGAAGCAAAGAATTCTAAACTTTCTATCGTATTTGGAAAAAAGCTAGATAATAATCTCACAAAGCCAACGAATGGCAAGTGCATTTTCCTTGCGGGGATCCTATTTCAATGGGAATTCCAATGCCAAGAAGAATCATCACAAGCGATAGCTAAAATTGGGAATGCCCATTAATTGATCAGTACAACCTTGTGGTGGGGCGTCACATGAAACCCCCTTGTTCCAAACACAAATAAACCAAGGTTTCTGAACTGAATTATTCAGAAACTACAACCCTCAGAAGGCCTCACAGAAATAGCGTAATTCATTCCCTGCACTCGGGAACTCTGACGTTTTGGTTCCTTTATGAAGCCTACTTAAATCTGTAAGGCATCGGCAATGGATCCAGCAAGACTCAAAACTTCGAAAGGGGCTTGATTTCCTATGGCTTTAACCGTGTGTGGGCAAGAATCCGTTATCCAGAAGTAGGTGAATCCCTTGTCAGAGCCTTCCAAAAACAATGTCAAAATAACTGTAAGATGCTTAAGTTCACTCTGATAATTTTTAACATTTTGCAAGCATGGAAGTTAAGTAGCATACCACCATTATTGCAAGTGAACCTCTCCCAAGATCGTTTCGGGAATACCGCGTGAGTAACATATGCGCTCACCTTGGCGGCACCGTGAGCTGCCAAAACTTTCTGGCAGAGTAAAAGAGAGAGATATAAGGTCCAGCATAAGAAAATTGCAGTTTACATTTGATGTACTGTGTAACGGGGCTAAATTGCCCCAGATTCAACCATATGACCAAGACAGGGCCCTCCGGCACTTGCATAACAAAATGGATGTTGGAAACAATGGCTTACAGAGGCATTTTGATATTTTTCTCCATTAAATTAAAATGCTAGTTGCTAACTGATTGCAATATACTTTCATCTTCGTCTATGCCATAACAAGTAGGGAAAACTATTACTTTGGGCACCATATGATTCAGTGTGAGATACATTCGTATCAATCAAAAGTCGCAGAGAATTATGATAGACACCGCTACAAGATGAAAACTCAATCAAGCCAAAATGCAACCTCTTTTTATCATCTGCCTGCACTTCAATTTTGATGAATTAGTGTAACAAACCCCAAGCATGCATGTCTAGATAGGCCTTCTACCACTGCTCTTTCTTTCAACTATTCTTGCGTTGAAGTTCTTCCAATCCTGTGCATTTCTCATCGGATAATATGTTTTATTATCAATCGACAAGCATTTCTTAGGAATAAGAAACGTTTATTCCTCCACCAGCAACATGCACAGTTACGGTATACGACTCAAGGACATAAATAAATGACATTAACAGACAGTATTCAACAATGTGAAATTATGCACCGCACGGTTTATGATGCTTGACTAGCATCAGCTAAAAAATATGACAAAACGAGCTCCATATTTGTTGGAGTTCTGGAAATTAGAAGTATACAGTGTCATGTAGATGAGCAATTTGTATTTTAGAACATGAGAAAGATGATGTGCAAAAGTACCTGGCACTCAATTAGGGTTCCCCCAGACTGCACCAGATCATCAACAATAACTACATGACAGCCAGAAGCATTTCCCTCCCTAAGCCGCACTATCCTCTTGTCACCTTCACGAACCTTTGTGCACACCACCTGTTGTACACAGATATTAAGTATCCAACGTGATAAAAATGCCCGTAACTAGATTCAACTGAAAGTAAGAGCAAGACTGACCACAGGAAAATTATCCAGGAGCTTGTGAAATCTCTTCCAGGCTCCATCATCAGGAAATGCGATGACAATCTGAAAAATGACTAAAAATTAAACAGGAGATTTAAAATAGAGAGGTCTGCTACACAGATCATCAATGGGGGATAGCAACAACACTCACAAATGACAATAAACAGATCTTATAAAAATGGAAACCTGGGCAATCTACTTACTTTCTCAGACTCAGGAAGCTCGCAAAGGCGCCTCTTTAACAGAGGAATCCCTGTCTCAAACAAAGGCAAAACATGGTCCCCAAAATAAAACCTTTCCTGTGGTAAGAGAAAAACCTCAGGGTCCAATTAATACAACAAAGCTACTGGAAAACTGCAGTTGCAGACAGGCAATAAGCAATGCTTTCACTATAAAAGCAAGCACTATGGTAAAAAAACAGGAGATGGAGCGCGCCCCTAAATAAATAAAGCAAAAAGAAAAGAAAAGATGGAACAGCACTCTCAATAACAAACTTACTCATCAATAATGTTGCAAATATACCAACTAGATAAGTTGCTGACTCAAAATGAAACATGTTTGTTTCTTTGATCGTACAATTACAGTGGGCCTAAACCAAACTGGCACACATCTACCCTTTGCCACACAAGCAAAGCCAAGGTGACAAATACTTTTGATTGGAAGCACACTAACAAGGGCCTAAAAATATAGAATGTTATAAGATGTATAATGTCTCGGTCTTCAACTACTCTTAGTACTTTTGACGATGACTCAACCTCATAGAAGAGATAACTAAAAAGTTACTTCTCTAAGACGCATCCTATCTGATGATGCCTTTGTCACTTCGAACCACCCTAGACACGGATATGATAAGTTCGATATGCAGAGTTCCAGTGCATCAGTTGTGCTTCCACATACCGGTAAACTTCCAATCACAGAAAATCGAGTACATTTAACAATCTCATGCTGTTTGTACTAGCATGGATCATGTTCTCATGGTCACACTTTCGCAAAACCACTAATATAGCAGAAACAGAAGTGCCGGAGAAAATACAAATAACATCTCTTCCATCTCAATCTCATGCTGTTTCTATAAAAATTACGGCAGAATTGAAAAGGAATAAGTCAAAGCCTTTTCTCTATAAGTAGAATTGAAGGTATATATTGAGTTCAATCAGTTCCCATGAACCATACCTGCAAAGCATGTATATCGTAGATAACTAAACTTGTTGGGCCCCCCCTTGAGATGGGAATGTTTGACAAAATTCTTGCCATGGTAAACGCTGTAGCCACATCTCCTTCCTCTTCCATTCGTTCAAAGGAGCCAGTAGGAAAATATGCCAACACCAATGTAAAGGAAGCAACAAAAAGCCGTGGCAGTGCATAAATGACCGAAAGCTGCTCGAAGATTACTGCTGGAGAACTGAAGGATGCAAGAAAAGCCACATGCTGACCACGTATATCTTGTGCATTGTTTATGAAAAGGTTTGGGAATCCATCATCAAAACTCCTGCATGTACGTCAAATTTGTCATTTCTAGCCCTTAAACAAAGAGTATATTGCGGACATATGTTTAGCAAGTCCATCGTCCAACTGTATCCACCTCAAATTACATTGTACACTATGCCCAAATGCCAAAAACAAATGAGAAGTAGGGACTAGACAAGATTTCCACATATGGATCAGAGAAGAGGGTGAAGAGCCACTTCTCCAGTTGCTTGCCGAACAATCCTAAGTCGATTCATTACAGAGTCAGTAAAATCACCTGGGGGTCTAACTTACTGCAGATATTTGTCGATGTTCTCTCCTTTCAAAAATTGAATATTGCAACGTTAATCCCCTACATATCATGTATAAGCCACAACTAGGAATGAGACTCGTTAGTTCGAGAGAAACCTATAAAAAAAATTGCAGCTTTGTCTCCCTATGAGGAGTAAAGGTTGCAGCTTTTGATTCCTAGCTGATAATTTCATAGTCCAACCGATTGCCGTCATCCAAAAACACATCCCCCAAGAAAAAGAATATTGAATTTCTCCCAATCTTGCTCTAAAACAAGTGCCCAGCATATCAAATTCAAAGCTCAAAGCTCACCCATGTCGCGAAAAACAAAGACTCGCTCGCCTTTGGATCACGTGATGAGGAATTTCAGTTCCTCAGGGTGTGAACACAACAGTCAACAGAGCCGAACGTGAAAGAATATAAAGCACTATGTCACGTCGTACCAATTACGGCAGTGCAAAGATCATATCAGAGGTTTTCGAAAAAAGGATTCATCCGCACACCCACACCCACACCCACACACACGCCAGAAAGAGCGCAAGTCTCGCGCTTTCGCAAACGACGAAGCTCTTTGGAGCAATCGATCCCCGTATACATTAGCCCGTTTCGGGTTTCACGAAACTGTACGCAGCTCGAGAACATGTGCGTGAGAGAGAGGGAGACCTCCATTTGATGGACTGGAGGTGGATGAGGTCGGAGCGAGCGGCGACTTCGCGGGCGAGCTCTTCGGATTCCAGGCAGTGGAAGAGCAGCACTTGTTTCTTCCCCGTCTTCTCCTTCTTCTCCATTCCAACGAACACGCGCAGATAGAGAGAGGGTTTCTTGCTCTGCTCTGGTCCTCTGGAGACGCACTCGACCCAGGAGGAGTCCACACAGAGACACAGAAGAGAAAGAGAGAGAGAGAGAGAGAGAGAACGTGTGCGCCGCGTTTCAGGCCGTTCTCGTTTTAAGGTTTTTTCTTTTGGGATGACCACGAAAAAACGGTCCTGAACTATAATCCAATATATAATTTGATCCATAAATTTTTAATTTATTCAATATAATCTCTAAATTTCAGTCTATTATTCAATTTGATCCATGAACTTTGAATTTATTTAATATTGTCCATGGACTTTTGGTACATATTCCATTTAGTCCCTGAACTAGATGAAAATATTCAATGTGATCCCTGAACGTGAATTAATGGAATGACCACATTGAATATTTTCATGGACTAAATGGAACATGTATCAACAGTCCAAGGACCATATTGAACAAATTAAAAGTTCGGGGATAACATTGAACATTTGAAAAAAGTTCAGGGACTATATTGAACAAATTAAAAGTTCAAAGACTCAATTGGACATTGGGCCAAAGTTCTGAAACTGTTTGTGTCATTTTCCCTTTCTTTTAAGGATTTTGTTGATGAATACATAGAGATGAGGTATTAAATAAACACACTTAAGAAATGACTAATTAAAAAACATCAGTATCTAATAAATAGTATTGTCTTTTAGTTTTTACCCAAATGTATGAGAAATATTCCTTTGAAAATAACGAGGGCGATGCTATTTCCAATTCTTCATCCCTAATCTGGACATACTTTGACTCCTGCGTCGGCATGTCGTTGATGGCGAACAGCTCAACAATCTTTCATTAAAGAAGATGATTACGTTTTTATGCTCTATGGTTGCTCTTCTCTTGATGCTCGCTCATAAGAGATCAAGATGAGCATCGAATCTTATCCCTGTTTTATCAAATTGAGTGATTTTTCTTGCAATGATCAATTAAGCATGCTTAGTATTGCATAAATTGTGATATTTCAAAGTGTTTTTTCTGGGGTAAGTAAGAGATTTTCATTAATTTGAAAAGGATCACAAAGACATCGTTACCACAATAGCAATGATAGTGTTGTCATTGGGTCGATGTAGAATCGATTGGTGCAATTTCTATTAAAAGCACAAAATTCGATATGCACTTAGCGTGATTGGAGCTCTTAATCTCTTAGAAGACATATCGTGTGTCATGGAACCGGTCGGTTTGAGGCCGATTCAGGACTAATCAGGTAGGTTCTTGGTTCCGTTAAACTTGGAATCGGCCATACTAAGTAGTCTCATGGTTTCAACTTCAGAACCGATAGCACTCACTTGATACATGAAAAAGTTCTCACAATGAATAAAGTCACAACATTCGAGTTTTGACACGACCAGCCATAGCTCCTACTCCTTTTTTCACAGCACTCGCTCTATGCAAGAGGCCATGTCGAATCTGAGAAATTGTAGCATGACTAGCAACAACAATGGTTGATTCATCTTACTCCCACTCCCATCTCTGCAATGCCCTTCCAATCTTACATCTTTGACAAACTTATTGCCAAGCCTCCGATGGCTACTTGACACTCCACGAACAAATGATCTCTACTTTCAGGGCAACTATTGCAGAGAAACACAAATCCACTGTATTCACACATTTAGCTACTCTATCTTTAGATAGAGCCAATTCAGAATAGCTAACCAGCTCATAAAACTGTTTTGAAGTATTAGTTGCCAACCATACAAGTTTATTGGATCTTAGGAGCGCGAGTTCAAAGCTTACTCCAAGCACCACGAATGGAGAAGCATTTTGAAGGAGCAACCACCCATATCGCCTTGTCCTTCACATTAGAATTTGGCATGATTGCATCACAGGGAGAAGCTTGCATGGTGATCAAATCATCTGAGACCTGCTTTATGCCCAATCCTCTACTCTTTTAGTAGACAAACATCCACCCATTTAACCTTCACGACCTTAGTTTTCGTGTCTAGCCTGGCCACAAATAGGCATTACAGCATTGGTCAATCTTCTTAATAGCCTTCTTAGAAGGGAAGAAAGCTCCACATAAGAAAGAGATGATGCTGTACATAACAAAGCTGATGAGTAGAAGTCTCCCTGCAAAAGGAAAGTCTTTTGGCACTCCAAGCTTTAGTTCTACTCAGGATTCTCTCAATTAAATCAGTACAATAACAGAAAGCTTCCCTGACATCAATGCTAGCCCAAGATACCTAACTGGCAAAGAACCAATCTTAGATCCACTAAGCTGCACCATTTCTTGAAGATTAGTATTAGAGACACCAGAAGAAGTAAATTTCAGTCTTTAAGGGATATAGCTTTAAACCAGACATATGGTAGAACTGCAACCCTGTTTAACAATCGAGAAAGAACTTTGATTGGGAAGATTGTAGGATTTTGAAAGTAAGGATGAAAAAGAAAAGGTATGAAGAAAGTCAATGACAGGTTTTATAACAATCCATAAAACTTAAAAAGGGAAAAAAGCTGGTGCACATTGGAGGGACCGGACTAATGATGCTTTAGGAATAAAGATGGACGGCCTCTGGTGCGGGGTCTTTGGTGTCCCATTACGATCATGATGCCCATCAATATAAAGAAGTGACCCTACAAGACAACTTGTGACATTATGCAAGCTAAAAAGCTAATGTTATTCCATTTTCACTACCCATTTTATAATGCATTTTTCACATTGTTCTCCTGATTATCAGGAAGCAGTACCACTGCAGCAGCTTGTACAGTTCGATAGCATTTTGATATGGGCCAAAAGCCCACTATAAATGGTCTTAGATTCCATCAGGCCCATAAACTTAGCTCATGCAATGTCTCAACTTTGAGGCCGGCTGAGAACGTCAGATGCAATTGGAAACTAGCCTACTTCACGAAATTAATTATGGGCTCAAGAGACCACAATAAAAATAAGGAAGATGTAAAATTTTTGTGAGAGTATCGCCAACTGTTTTGAAAGCTTAAACTATTAGATGAATGCGCGGTTTAACATTTAAACATTCTAACATTCTCCCTCACGTGTAGCCTCGGTTTTGGCCTAAGAGTAAGCATGGAAATATGTAATAATGGAGGCAAATATGGGCCTGGAAAAATATGAACTCGAGGCTACTTGCTCCATGAAAGCTATTGTGGGACTACCGCTAGCTTTTAAAACAGTTGGTACAAAATCTTTCAAACATAAGAGTTATTGGAGATCAAAAGATATTATACATTGCATCTAAGAGGTTGAGGAAAGCAAATGGAGGTGAAATGGAACTTTTCATGTGATTTCATGTTCTATGTTTTTTGCTGAATGACAATATGGGAAAACAAATGGGGAGATGAAGAACAGGAACTCATATCAAGTGATTTCAGGTTCTCTGGTTTTTTCCTTGAATGATCATGGGATTCTAAGCTTATAATCCACAGTAACTATTCACCCGACACGATGCATTAAGGAACCGCTACAAGTTCTATGCAAGCATTGCACATGCAAGAGTGTAAAATATATCTTTACACAGAGTGCGTGCACAAGCTAAATGTACGTTGCAATACATGGGGGAAGAAACTCAGCAGCTTCCGGTGGACATTCAAAGGTCCCATTACGCGAGTTCATATCATATCTCTCCAACCAAAAAACAAATAGAAAAGAAAAAAAGATATGCATGTTGCGCGACGTACGTCACCATGGATGATGTTCATTACACAATAAGTTCAACAATAAAGAGCTGGAAAGAATAAGAAACCCAAATCACATGCACGGCATTTATCACAGACCTTGAAGGAACATCAACTCCCCATATCTTTTCTCTGGCTATAGGTGGAAAACCAAGCCTGTGCTACTCATAGGGAAGCCGTGACGAAGTATATTTAGTTTCAATCATTTTGGATCTGCATTTGCATGAACAGTTCATTAGTGCGTGACAGTTTCCATCTTTCCCTTATATTTTCGCAGAGAATACATCAATCTCCTTTTTCTTTTTTTTCTCTTCTGCGCCTTTGAAGAGTCAAAGGAACGCGAATCGGGTGTGGAGGGGTTAAGAATCTTGAATTAACCTAACGTCAGCAAGAGGAAGACATGCATGAAGAAGAACAACATACTTCGCGAATGATTGATGTAAACCTCACCAAGACAAGTAATGAAGAAAGCATGAGCTTAGCTGCCCCATCCGAAAGATAGTTTTAAGAAAAGTTAGGGAAGAAAAAAGAGGTCCAATCGAATTTTTTCTGTCTAGATCTGCTAATGAACATGAAATCTGCGATGATGTCGAATCAATAAATTACTCTAACGTCATCGAGAAGAAGACATGCGTGATGAGGATAGCATACTTCGCGAATGATTGAGAACCTTACCAAAACAAGTAACCAAGGAAGCATGAGCATAACTGCCCATCGAAAGAGAGATTAAAAAAATGTTAGGGGAAAAAAATGTTCAATCAAAGTTTCTTTCTAGATCTGCTGATGAACATGAAATCTGTAATTAAAGAAAAAGTTGGAATATTTCAATATTAAATCACGCTTTCATCTAATAACTTAAACTTTTAGAACAGTTGACAGTGGTCTAAATCTTTCAAGATCTTTTATTTGCCTCCACTACTATATATTTCCATGCTTACATTTAAGTCAAAATTCAATATACGCGTGAGGAGGGAGTGTTAGAATATTTAAGGGATAATGACATGAATAGTCCCGAAACTTTGCTAATGTGCAATGTGTTCCTTGAATTTTTAATTTGTTCAATATGGTCCAGGAACTTTAGCCCGATGTGCAATATGATCCCATAACTTTTAATTTATTCAATGTGGTCCATGGACTTTTGGTACATGTTCAACTTAGTCCCTAAATTATATGAAAATGTTCAATGTTGTCATTCCATTAATTCGAGTTCAGGGATAACATTGAACATTTCATATAGTTTAGGGATAAAATTGAATATGTACCAAAAGTTCAGCGATCACATTGCACATTGGGCTATAGTTCAGAGACCACATCAAACAAGTTAAAATTTCATGGATCACACTGCACATTGGGCCAAAATTAAGGGACCATTTGTGTCATTTTCTTGACTAAATATCCGAATCACGACATCATCTTACAGCTTAAGTTGATAGTAATCCCACGAAATCTTTCAAACCTACCATCGGCAAGACGAAAACATGCACGGGTAAGATTACATGCTTAGCGAATGATTGAAAACCTCACCTAAACAAGTGAGGGAGGAAGCATGAGCTTAACTGCCCAATCAAAAGAAAGTTTAAGAAAAGTTGGGAAGAAAAAAAGTCCAATCGAATTTTCTTTCTGGATCTGCTAATAATGAACATGAAATCTGCAAAGAATTCCGCAATGCCTTCACCTACCCGACTATCACAGTTGGGCAAGGGAAGATCTAAGAAGAAACTTGTATAGAGGTCTCGTGCTTTTTTGGTGAAATGCAGTTGAGATCTCAACAACCAAACTCATGCTTGAAATCAGAAACATGGAACCACGATGCATATGTTATTCCTTAATTCCCTATGGTATTCGTACAAATATCGTCATGAGAGATGTTATAGATGCACGAGAGCGAGCAATTATCGGCGCTTTTTATGAAGAACCATGTAGGATTTATATCGGTTGTCCTCGTATCTTTTAGTATCGAATCTTCGTATACCTCTGGCGTCATTGTAAACATAAAGATTAAATCCATCCAGTTTATCTTCTATTGTCATGCATCATGACACATTATTCAGTGAAAATTAAATAGCTGTATCTAGCACATCATCACCACCAACTATCTAGTCTCCTGTATACTCCATTCACGCGTGCATGCATAAGCTTCACATAACGGAGGGCATCTACAACATCATGAACATTTTCTCTTTTATACTGTTATTGCAATTGGACATCAAGACATTAGCCCATTTGCTATGGAAAATACATATGGTATTATTGGTCAACCGTTTCCATGTTCATGTCGAATTGAATTGAGGGAGGCCCCAAAAGTTTCCTTAAAAGCTCCACATGTTCTTATTCATCATTAAGCATGTTGCAGACTTGGGGAGGGAGAGAGAGATTCAAACATGACAGAGAACTTGCAAAGGCGGTCACCAACAAGCCAACCTACTATCCCTCTTTGACATACATCCGTGGAAGGGAAAGTGGCGAGGGGGAGAGACCTTGTTTTCCAAGGTAGATAACAGAATAACACATTACCAAACAAAAAATAAAGAGAAATAAATTGAAAGAAAAAGAAGAAGAAACTACTAGACTTACCAATATATATATATATATAAATATAGCATATATATTTTGGCGGTGCTGAAGAATTTTTGCACCAGTGGCTTTATATACCATTGATTCAAAAGAGTGAATAGCTATAATCCTCAAAATTAAAGGCAGATAAAGCTGTTCGTGTAAAACTTGTCGTGATGTTATTTTTTCGTAGAAAATACAATTCGGAATTAAATGCCAGCGGCGTGGCTAACCAAATATTGCTGTGGTCAACCCCCCTCGTCGACCCCACCTTAATGGCTGCTCGCTATAAATACCCTCTTCATGTCTCACACTTTTCCATAGTCCCCTCCTCCATCAACTCTCTCTCTCTCTCTCTCTCTCTCTCTCTCTCTCTCTCTCTCTCTCTCTCTCTCTCTCTCACACACACACACACACATTGAAGCTCAGGGAAGTCAGTAAGCCATGGTGTTCCCAATGGTGCTCCTCAAGCTAGCAGACTGGCTCCTGTGCCAGCTCCTGGCCGACTCATGCTACAGAGCCGCCGTGAGAATGAAGAACTATGGCTTCCTCATCACCAACACCAAGAACCCCTCTCTCCGATCACCACCATCATCACAAGCCCAACAACAACCCCCGCAAAGTCCTTTCCCTCCCGTGACCAAGTGCTCCTTGCAAGGCAGAGAGTCTGAGACCTTGGTCTGTGACATCCATGGAGCCCTCCTGAGACCCCAGTCCTTCTTCCCTTACTTCATGCTTGTGACCTTCGAAGGGGGTAGCATTTTCAGGGCATTGCTCTTGTTGCTTTCATGTCCCATCTTGTGGGTCTTGGACCATGAGCTCAAGCTCAGGGTCATGACCTTCATCTCCTTCTGTGGGCTCAGGGTCAGGGATATGGAGAGTGTGAGCAGGGCTGTGTTGCCGAAGTTCTACCTCGAGGGACTCAATGCTCATGCGTATGAGGTCTTGGCCTCAGCTGGTCACAAGGTGGTGTTCACTAGCGTCCCTAGGGTCATGGTCGAGGGCTTCCTGAGGGAGTACTTGAGTGTCGATGATGTGGTAGGGACTGAGTTGCAGACGCTCGGGGGTTACTTCACTGGGCTTGTCTCTGGGTCTGGTTTGCTGGTGAAGCACAGGGCGCTGAAGGCGTACTTCGGAGAGAGAAAGCCTGAGATTGGGCTTGGAGGTCCGAGCTTCCATGACCATCTCTTCATCTCCCTCTGCAAGGTACAGACTTTTCCTTCTCTTTAATATTCAATACATTTGACCAAACTAATCTCTCTCCACCTCCTAAAAGAGGGGGGAAAAACAATTAGCGTGTCATTTTGGGAAAGTCTGATGGTGCATGACAGTTGCACCTTTTTCCTCTTCAAGGAAAATCCGATGCACCAGAATGTACCATATTGGTTCCTCAGGGAAAGCGCATTTGCTGCTCTGTAGCTCCTATATATGTGCATGTCCTCATTCCTTAACCATTTTCGATTATTGACCTACATGTTGGTTTGCAAATTGACAGGAGGCTTATTTGGTGACCAAGGAAGAGACCAAGGGCAGTGCAGGCTCAGTGGTCTTGCCCAGGAGCAAGTACCCGAAGCCGCTGGTGTTCCACGACGGGAGGCTCGCGTTCTTGCCAACCCCGCTCGCAACCCTCTCCATGTTCCTGTGGCTTCCGCTCGGAATCCTCCTGGCCATCTTCAGGCTTTTGGTGGGCATCTATCTCCCTTACAAGCTGGCCATTTTCTTTGGAACACTGAGTGGCGTGCAGTTCTGGATAAGCGGGTCGAGACCCACGAAGTCAGACCCGAGGAAGGGAGTCCTCTACGTGTGCACCCACCGGACCCTCCTCGACCCGGTCGTCCTCAGCACATCCCTCGGACAACCTCTGACCGCAGTCACATACAGCCTCAGCAAGATGTCTGAGATCATAGCCCCAATAAAGACGGTGAGGCTGACCCGTGACCGAGCCAAAGATGGAGAGACCATGCAGAAGCTGCTGAGTGAAGGTGACTTGGTGGTGTGTCCTGAAGGAACTACTTGTAGAGAGCCATACTTGCTCAGGTTCAGCTCACTGTTCGCCGAGCTGGCCGACGAGATCGTTCCGGTGGCGATGGACGCCCATGTGAGCATGTTCTATGGGACGACCGCGAGCGGGCTCAAGTGCTTGGATCCCATCTTCTTCCTCATGAACCCTAGGCCCTGTTACCACGTCCAGGTCCTGGAGAAAGTGCCCCGAGAGCTCACGTGCGCCGGCGGTCTGTCGAGCCACGAGGTAGCGAACAACATTCAGAAGCAACTCGCTGATGCTCTAGGGTTCGAGTGCACTAGCCTGACCCGGAAGGAAAAGTACATGATGCTCGCAGGCAATGAAGGGATCGTCAAGGAGAAGAAGAAGAAATTCTAGCTAGCTTGAGATTATTAATGTTACTTGATTTTTTTAACCCTTCTCTCTTTCTTTGTAATAACTACCATTATATGTAGGTTTTGATCTCACGGTAAGTACTTTGGATGTGAAGTTATATTCATTTACTATGCGTTACAATTGTGGACCGTGGAATCATCATCGTATCATCATCATCATCGTTCCATGTATTAATTGATTGACTGTCAGGTTGTTCCCATCATCAGTCCACAGTTTTGCTAGCTTTTGCATGCAATGGGGCAATCCATTTTCTTTTCATTTTTCCTTTAATGTAGGCTTTTCGAAGTCTTTTTCTTTTTTTTTTTCTGTTTCTAGTTGCTAGTCAAAGAGGCGTGTTGGAAATTCATATGTTTTGCCTAGGATGGAGTGTTTGTTAGGTTGACTACTTTAAAAGGCTGAAATCTAATTTGCCAACATTTATTATGCAGAGTCAAGGAGAGATCACACATTCAACCCCCACATCTCTACACAGATAAAATCACATGGCACACTAGATTAACAATTTGCAAGTCACTGAACAAGAAATATATATTTGGCCATCCATTGGATTGAATCGAGTTGCTTCGGCGCGAGTTGCTTCGGCGCAAATTTAATGTTACGCAAGTTGTTGATAGAAAACCTCATCCATAACTTGAATATCATCTACGTTTGAGAAGAAGCGAAGGATTTGGAATTCAGAATCTACTTCTGCAATAACTCGATCCGATGACCGTCATAATAAACATAACAATAACCATTGCGAGAGTTGCATCTGCAAACCCTAATCTTGAGAACTTAATGTTAAGCAAGTTGGCGATAGAAAACTTCATTTATAACTTGAATAACAGGCACGTTCGAATAGACAAAAAAAAAACACACGTTCGAGAAGAAGCGAATGATTTGAAATTCAGAATCTAGTTTCACGATGACTCGACCCGATGACCATCATAATAAAAATAACAATAACCATTGCCGGAGTTGCATCTGCAAACCCTAATCTCGAGAACTTAGCTTATCCATGAAAATAACATGAAAAGTGTATATGCATGAGGATGGGGTATGAAGAAACTTCTCTTCCTTGGATCATTCACGGGGACCCTCAATCTCTTCTCGCAGGCTTTGACTTTTTCCTTTTCTTTTTAGGTTTTTGGTGGATACATTAAAGTCTTCGGAGGCCCCCAAGTTCCTATACCACATTGAGAAACGTGCATGTCAATGTGGTAATCGATCGTGTGAGTTGGTGTGGCAGTGTCAATTCTTCTGCGTGATGGCAATGAATGATACGACAAGTGCCAGTGGTTCTCACGATGGAATTTAATGCTGTATGTGTGAATAGTGTTAGATGGGGACTTGCAGATCGATGATATAACAACGGAGGCAAATCAAAATCATGACATCAGCCCTTCGATGAAGAATATGATATTTTTGCTGCAAAAAAACCAGAAAAACCAAGAAAGAAAGCAAGAAAGAAAGAAAACAGGTGCTTCCAACCACATAATTCAATCGATTTGTTTCTAGTTTCTTTTTCACTTCTCAAGTGATGGCTCCGGAACAATTATCATTTTCTCTTTCCTTTTTTTTTTTATGCTTGAAGCCATAAGCTATCTCACCAATTTCATGAATTCGATAAGACGAAATCGAACGGGATATGAAATTCTAGGGAGATTATTTTGACTTCTTATGACAATGTCTTTTTCTTTTTAGAAATATGACACAAAAAGCCCATAAACTTTGGTTCCATGTGCAATGTCATCCTTGAACTTTTAATTCGTTCAACATGGTCCTTAAACCATTCCGAAATGTTTAATCTAGTCCTCAACTTTTCGTAAAAAGGTTCAAAAGTTTTCATTATTACACTATTGTTCGAATTTTAAATTCATTTCAAATATTATGATTGTTCCATTTACGCAAATTTTAGCTTATGATCTTCATGATAGTATAAGTAGAACCTAATTTAGAATCGTATCATATTGATATTCTTGCAATTTTAATTTCCTAATTTATAGATTTAACTAAATTTTATTAAAGAAAACACAAAATAAGGGTCCAAAGTAAACATGATTTCAAATAAGGGTCTGAATGGGAGCAAAGGAGGGAAGGAGAGGGAGGAGGAGGAGGAAGGAAATGTACATTTCGTTTTTTACAAAAATGCCTTGTTCTGGTTGCTAAAAAAATCAAGTGCTCGTCTACTGGCGAGCTATGCCCTTATTTGAGATTGACTTGACCAGTTCGGGTTCTTATTTGAAACAAAGTCCATTATGGGTCATCATATTTTAAATCACTCCACTTCGGGCCATTATTTGGAATTTTCCTTTTAATTAAAGAAAACACAAAATACAAAAAATTGAAAATTATCTATCTTAAAAATTAAGAACAAGATTTAGATTAGTAGAAGTATCTTTAGATAAATTAGTGTCGTTACTAAATATATTTATGAAAACACTTATTTATAAATTAAAAGGAATATGAATCTAATATACCTTTAAATGAGGTCATATTTTTAGAATCATAGAGATCTTAAGTTAAAATATATTTAAATGGAACTATAGTAATATATATATAAGACACAAAAGGTCAAAAAAAAGTTGTAAAATGATGGCATATCTTTTGTTGATTTAGGAAATGGATTTAAATGAAAAAATATTCTAAATTCTGGGCAATAGTGTAATTATGAAATCTTGTGCATAGTTTCGAAGGACTAATTTGATTTTGTTATGAAAAGCGAAGGGACTAGATTGAACAAATTGAAAGTTTAGGGACTAGATTGAACATTTCGAAACATTTCAATAATAACTTTGAATGAATTAAAAGTTCAAGAATAATATATTGCACATTAAACCAAATGTTAGGAATTGTTTTTGCCATTTTCCCTCTTCTTCCCCCTTGATGTTCATTATGTGCACGCCAAAAAATGATCATAAGTTTATCCTCTATCGTATCCCACTACCAATAACCATTTCGAAAAGAGAAAATACCATCAAAAACCCCAAACTATGCCACTTGTGACAAATTTACCATGAACTTTTTTTTTTGTGACACGAAAAACCTCAAACTATGTCACTTGTAGCAAATTTACCCTGAACTTTTTTTTGTGATACGAAAAACCCCAAACTATGTCACTTGTGACACATTTACCCCACAATACTTTGGTCCATGGGCATTTTCGTGTTTTTCCTCTTATTATTTTTTTTCCTTTTTTTTGTCTTTTCTTCCCGGCGAGGGTCGCCCTCGCCTGGGCTGGCGAGGGCAGCCCTCGCCGAAGAAGAAAAGAAAAAAAAGGAAAAAAACAGAAAAAGGAAAAAGACAAAAATGCCCATGGGCCAAAGTATTATGAAGTAAATGTGTCACAAGTGACATAGTTTGGGATTTTTCGTGTCACAAAAAAAATTCAGGGTAAATTTGTCACAAGTGACACAGTTTGGAGTTTTTGGTAGTATTTTTCCTTTCGAAAAACGTGCCTATGGGACAAATCTAAGTCCATGATGAGATCATAAACAGAAGTTGGCTTTTAACTCTCAAAGTTCCCATTTCGCATACATCAGTCTATAACCATGCAAGTCGGTAAGAAATACATCTCGGTCAATCGAGTGTTCTACAAAACTACCAGACAAAAATCAATACATGATCATGTGACCCAGAAGAAATATCAAGGCGAATTACATGAATGGTAATTCCGCTCCCCAGTAATAACTTGTGCTTACCAAATTCCCGTCTTATAGTCATTTCCAATATCGACAAACATGCTTTTCTTTCCTCACACCATGAACAATCTGAAGCTTCTACAGCTGACAACAAATTGGATCATCTCATCCCACCCTACATAATCCCAAGTTCTGATAAGGGGATTCAGTAGTCGCAAAAACAGTACAAGTCGAAAGGAGTATAATGTCAGGCATGCCGCAAGATCATCGTAGATATCTTGTAGAAATCAGCAATATATCCATTTTGTCACTCCAGAGTCACTGCAACTAAAGCTCACTGCTGTACATATGTGTGGCTTGGTTAATGGATTCCAGAAGCAAAACTCAGCCAACTCAGTGTCATGACAAGAGACGCGATGTGACTCAATTGGGAAGCCGATGAAGTGGAAGGGCCTGAAGGCTCGGCACCGAAAACTGTGGCCCCGCTAGAGTTCGTGGTGTTCAAGATTGATGAAGCTGTGCTGCAAATTTCACACAGATACATATATGTGACATACTATTGATAGCGAAGATCCCCTCACTTTTCCGTGAGAAAATCATAAAAGGAAATTCAGACAATAAAGTTGGGAAAATTCACCTCGTGGATTGATATTGACATGTAGAACTACCTGCAATCATGAGGATGAACAGAAAAAAATCAGCAAAGGGGAGATTTCAAATGGGTCTTTGTCCACGTACCCGAATCAGATGATTGATTGAAGAAAATTGTATGCAATGAACAGATTAAGAAGATCAAATGGAAAACGTATGGTTCGCACGAAATGTGTTATGCTCTAGTGGATTCGGCTGATGACTTTTCACAACCCACCTAGTATTCACTATCACAAAGTTGTCATCACTTTTATTTTCTTTCTTATTGGGAGAATTGCTGCCAGTGCCAGAGCAACATGCTATTTTATTATTTGGTACACAAGACAACAGGCTGTGTTTCTTAAAATGCATGAATTGTTGTGTTATTGCATTACTTCAGTTGGGTTGGCAGGCAACTGTCTGATCCAGATTGGCTCTGTACACAATTGCTAAAACTTTTTCCCTTAGAAGGAAATTGGTATCTTTATTAGGCAAAAGGGTTAGTGCTTAATGCTGAAGTTGGTAGCCCAAGCAGTATCTTTTGGACTTGGGCCTAAATCATCTGCACTACTTTTGCAGAATGGGGAAAGAGAGGGCTTATACTGTTGACGGGTAGGCAGGCCTGGGCTAAACAGGTGGCGGTACTCTCGCATCACTAGGAGGTGCCCGTTACAGACTCGATGACAAGAGGGAAGTGACTGGCAACAACAAGAAGTAATATCATGTGAAACTCTAGGAGGGCTTCAAACTTATCCCACCAAGCCTAGTTATTAAATCACACTCAGAATAAACAAATCAACATTGCCTGAGATATAGAACTACTTATGCAAGGTTAATAAAAAGTAAAACTAAGAGCTTACTTGGGTCAGTGCTGGTAACAACAGCTGTTCCTCCAAAGCTGCAGCTTGTGGGAACAGGATTCTTCTGATAATACTTATTGAACGCATAAGACGCGTGATCGTGCACCGTGTTTGGGTAATAACAGCTCCCGCCGGTCTGAATTGCCGAGCAGTCGGCCCCGCCGTACCCACAGGCATAGTCCAGAGCGACTTGCAGAGCAGTCTGCGACACGCTCTGGCTCGCAATGCACCAGCTGGAACTCAAGGATGGGGGCGAAGTCACCGTGGCTGTGAACGGGGTGGGGGTCATCACGGTCGGTGGGGCCAATTCGGGGTTCGATGTCGGGTTAACCACCGGATCGGCGGAAGCGAAAGGGGCTGGAATCATGGTGGGGACAGTTGTGACTGGATTTGTGATGTCCTTTTGGCCGGAAGGTGAGGAGGGTTGGTACTTCTTTACCTGGGCTACTTCATTGGCGTATCCAACTGCTTCCTTCCTTGTCACAAGTGACCCTGAACCTGAAGCTGTCAACAAAAGTTAAAGTAGGGCTCTACTTTATTTCTCTTGTGTACATAACCATTCTTTGACAGTGAGATAGAAAACAATACTTGTCTTGTACTGAAGTTTAGGTACAGCAACTGAATTCTGAAACACTCTCCCAGCCAAATCCCTCTTTTTTCTTTCACATCCGTTTTTGTATATAAAATTTTTAATTGATTCTCTGATGTATCTCCTATATTTTTCCACAGGGAATGACCGGGTTACACCCAACACAATCAAGTCAATACTACTGAAACTCTAATATGGAATAACTGATCTTAGTAGGAACATGATTAACAGTCATTTAGAACCAACAGGCTAAAGGGGGAGGGGGACAAAGGCAAAAACACAAAGGGGGGGTTCATGATTTGAATACTGCTACGATTGGGCCAAAAGGTCAAATAATCAAACGGCGCAGGGAATAGAATATTTCCTTTTTTTAAGCATTCAAAAGGGTGCGTGTAGAAACTCCAGAATTCTATGAGCACCGTAGTGTTTGCACATGACCAAGTACACGGAGACCGCCCTGAACTGAACCGAACCGACCCGACGAAACCAGTCAGACCTCGCGATCCGCCGCTAATCACGTAATGGGTACTGTAAAGAGGGGACCCCCAACCGCCCTTGGCCATAAATTCCATTTGACAGCTCGATTTTACTTGGTCCCAGAAAGCTCAAAAAAATTGAACTGCTCAATCTACTCCGCAAGGAAAGACAGCTAGCGAAACACATGGAACAGGGACAGTGGAGCTACGGTACGAACTGGTCCGAGCACATGGGTGTCGACCCCAGACCAGAAAAATCTAGAGAGAAGCGGGAGAGAAAACGTGCAAGTGCCATCACCTGGAAGCAGGAAGAGATGGCATAGCAGGATTATCGCGTAGCGCACACGCTTTCCACCCATATATAGCCTTCGAATCTCGCCAGCCTCTCTCTTCTCCTTCTTCCTCCTCTTCTTGTATAAACACAAAGCTTCACAACGCCTCGGACGGGAGACTTAGCGGGTGGCGTGGCTGAAAGGGAATGGCTGGTTTTATACCCTTTGGCGTAAAGATGACAACTTGAAGGAAGGGAGGGAGGGAAGGAGAGAGCAGGAGAAGAGAGACGCCAGGAGAGAGAGAGAGAGAGAGAGAGAGAGACGGGGACGGAAGGGGAGGACGGTGCAAAAAGGAGGGAAAAAGTGGGGTATAAGATGGAGGAAGGGGGCGGTTGAAAAAAAGGGGGAGAATAGCTTTTTTTGAGGGGCATTTTAGGTTGGGTGCGTGGGATGTGTGAGACTGTGAGTGATGATTGTAATGATGGTGATGATGCTTGTGTGCGTTTACCGAGCCCCTTTTCACTCTTCTTTTCCCTACTAATTTCGCCAATCTTGAGCTAGCGTTTTCTTAATTTATAAAGACAATACGAAATTTTAAAGATTCATATCGTACTCTTACTATGTAACCGGAGATTTTCAAACTTTTTTAAAGAAATGATTCGTCATTGGGCTCTTTGGCTAAATCAAGCATCGCCATTTTCATATTGATATGTATCGCCAATTCGGCATCATTATCTTATTTCCAACTCAAGATAAAATACACACACTCTCTCGCTCTCTCTCCCTCCATTTGTTCCTTTTGGTGTTTTGCTTTAGCGCTAACCATCGTAGTTATCAGCACCTTCGACATCACGCCGTCTCGCCTCATCATTACCATCGCCACTTCCCTAATTCGATCCCTCACTCCATTCGCCAATGCCACGTTATCTTCCGCGCTGACCATCGCGGTTGTTGGCGCCTTCGACGTCGCTCCGCCTCGCCCCACCACCATCACCACGATCATCACTTCCCTAATTCAATTCCTCACTTCACTTACCAATAAAGTACCGGGAACTATTCTGAGGTAGCGCTCGGGATCGTGCGACTTATATATTCAGAAGAGCGCGCGCCCATACCGAGAGACAATAAAAGTGAAGACGTACCGGAATAATTCCCATTCCTTGGGGCACCATCATAAGGGCTAAATTTGCTTTTCGCAAAGCATTTTGTCCTGGCGTTAATCAAGTAACACTCCATTGGGGTAGGGAGGGGCTTATACGGAGAGCTGCCTAAGCTTTTCCTTCTTTGGGCTCCCATGTCCATCGGTCCTGTGGAGGACCCCCGCTTTCTTTCTCCCCCTACCTTTTCTTTTGCTTTGCGAAGAACCATCATCTTCCTTCCTGGGTCTTTTTCACTTTTTCCACAGGTGACACTGCGACTGTGATTTGATGTATGCAGAGATTGCTCTGTCACGACCACGAGGGGGTCGAGACCAAGTCCGCTAATTGTGTCGCCGGTTGACCGGACATGGATCTAAGCACGGTCACAGATCCTCCCGTGCCCTTTTCCTAGACTAGATCTCCGACACCACGATCTATACCGCCGGTGTAACATTACATGTGAATCTCCGCAATTCAAACTGAACCCGTCATGCTTGCAATGGTAGGGGCGAATTCGATGTAGTTCACACGTTGTGTTCGCCGTTCGTTTCGAACTCATATATGGCGAATTAGCACGGTAAGACCATATATTGAAGGGAAAATAACAAAAATGGTCCATGAATTTTGTCCTAATGTGCAATGTAATCTATAAACTTTAAAATTTGTTTATTGTAATACCTGAACTTTAAGCTAATGTCCCATGTCGTTTCTAAACTTTTAAATTGTTCAATGTGATCCATAAACTTTTAGTACATGTTCAATTTTGTTCCTAAACTATATAAAAATGTTCAATATTGTCCTTGAACTTGAATTAATTGAAGGACAACATTTGACATTTTCATATGGTTCATGGACTAAATTGAACATGTATTAAAAGTTCAGGGACTAAATTGAGGAAATTATAAGCACATGAACCGCAATTCACATTGGAGTAAAATTTAGGAATCACATTGAACAAATTAAAAAATTATGGACCGCATTGCATATTGGCCAAAGTTCAGGGACCATTTGTATCACTAACCCTATATCGAAGCATAACGCGATACTCGCCAATCATTTCAATTTATTTTTTTACATATTCCTACAAGTTCGACAACCCTAATTAGCTCGAAGGTTGATGCAGAGCGAAAACGAAATACTGATCAATTGTGAGTATCGCTAACTCAGTATCTCCGCGAATTAAAAGCACATGCTTAGAATTTGCTAGGACCTTGCTAACGACCGACGAGGGCAGCAAGTCAAGAAAAGCCATCATTAGCAAAGCATTAGCGTGCTTAACAATATATTATTAATCACCGTTATAAATACGACAAGCGTTTGGTTAGACATAAAGAACTGGGATCAGTGGGGATATGGTCCTCAAAGCGGGACCGTCCGAAACCCTAAATCCCAATCAAAAGCCTTCGCTTTTGACCTATGGGACAAGAAAATATACCTATGTGTAAATTTATAATATTCCCCCTAGACCCCTCTTTTGCTAGCTTTAGCTAAAGGCCCTGCTAAATTCTTGCTCACGTTTCTCATTTTTCGTAATTTTTTTGTAATTTTTTTTTTTGGCCAAAAGGGAATTATTGATGGAGACAGAGAAGTGTATATTATACTTCAAGAAGAGTGGGTATTCTGCGACAATAATTGGATTATATGAATGCTGCTTTTTCTCACTTTCTCTTTTGGAGGATATATCGAATCTGATGGATCGAAATCTATGATAGCATCTTTATCTTAGTGTATTGGTCGCACGAAACAGGAGTTTTTGTTTATGTTATCTTGGGCCGTTTTGGGATCCGAAGAGGCAATTACATGGGGACAAAGACTAGCTTTAAGGATTTTTAGCCAAAAAAAAAATAAAGGACTAGCTTTAAGGTTGTCGAGAAAAAAAAAAAGGGAAATTATGCACGAAATTAGGCCCTTAATTAATCCGATATTAAGCAGCACCTTAGCTTGTTTGAGCTAATCAAAGGGAAAAAGAAATCTCCTCAGCTTAGAAATTGTACTGTGTTTCTTGTTTAATTAAGGGAGTCGATGGCAAAAGGAGAAAAGAAAAGGAAATGATGGAATCCAAAATTGCACGGACGGTAAAATTTAGAGGTTTAAAACTGTGATTAACCCTTTTTATCTTTACTCAAAAACGGAACAAAAGAGCTTCTCGACATTTGCATTTTTGGGAAAAATTCACAAAAAACTCCAAACTTTATCCACCGTGACACATTTATCATAAATTATTTTTTGTGACATCCAAAAATCCAAATTTGTATCTGTGTGACACATTTATCTAAATTTTACCTCAAACTTATATCCGGACGACATATTTACCCAAAAACTTTTTTTTATGACATCAAAAACCCCAGACTTTTTTCCGTGACATCAAATTTTTGGGATAAATGTGTTACACGGATACAAGTTTGGGATTTTCAGTTTCACAAGAAGAAGTTTGGGGGTAAATGTGTCGTACTGTACAAGTGGGGTAAATATGTCACGTAAATACAAGTTTGGGATTTTTGGTGTCACAAAAAAGAAGTTTGGGGTAAATGTATTACGGTAGGCATAGTTTAGGGTTTTTGATGGCTTTTACCCTTTGCATTTTAAAGATTTTTTCCTCGTTACAGTGCAATGGGAGCAATCGGGCCGATACAATCCGAGCAAGGGACAGAACCGGCCTCACTCGACCGGTTCCAGACCGGTTCCGAGGAGAATCGGAGCGGTTCGGTTTCGAATGTTGGAACCGTCCCGGTTCGGTCATCAGGAAACCGCTGGTTCGACCGGAAAATGAAACCGCGCAGGCAGGCCGGTGGTTCCCAGACTTCCGGAGGAAAAATACCGGTAAACCGTCGGAGTCATCGAGCCTTCTCTTCTTCCACGTTGCGGCTCTTCCTCATCCATGGAGGATCCCGAACTGTGACGCCACACAGCACCAGAAGCAAGAGCAAATCCAAAAATGACGCCATGCGAGACCTGCTGCCACTCCGCTTCACCCTCCACGCCCACCCTCGTCCCGGACCCGCACCACTACCTCGCCCTGCTGGACAAGCGCTGCGCCACCATGAGGGACCTCCGGATCCTCCACGCTCAGCTCGTCAAGACCGGCCTCTCGCGCCGCGCCCTCCCCGCGAGCCGTGCGCTGGCCTTCTGCGCCTCCCCGTCCGGCGACATCGACTACGCCTGGAGGCTCTTCAGCCGGACCCGAAGGCCCAATCTCTTCATTTGGAACACCATGATCAGAGGGCTTTCCCGGAGCTCGACCCCGGAAGATGCCATCTCTCTGTTCATCGACATGCTCGTGGGTTCGCCAATCGAGCCGCAGAGGCTGACTTATCCTTCGGTTTTCAAGGCTTACTCTCAGCTGGGGTTGGCTCGCTCGGGAGCTCAGCTGCACGGGAGGATTGTGAAGCTGGGTCTGCAAGACGATCCGTTTATACGGAACACCGTCATTCACATGTACGCCCATTGTGGGTTCTTGGAAGAAGCGCGACTGGTGTTTGATGGAAGTTCGGATTGTGACGTGGTTGCTTGGAATTCTATGATCATGGGCCTCGCCAAGTGTGGGGAAATCGATGAGGCTCGGAGGTTGTTTGACCAGGCACCGCTGAGGAATGCGATTACTTGGAGTTCGATGGCTAGTGGCTATGTTAGAAATGGGAGGTTTGTGGATGCAATGAAGCTGTTCGAGGAAATGCAGGGGAGAGGAATTGAGCCGAACGAGTTTACATTGGTTAGTGTGTTAAATGCTTCTGCCCACTTAGGAGCTCTGAAACAAGGGCAGTGGGTTCACGAGTACATAAAGAAAAGTGGGACTCAGCTAAATGCAATTGTTACCACCGCAATAATAGACATGTATTGCAGGTGTGGGAGCATTGGGACGGCATATCAAGTGTTTCGGGCAGCAACTAAGAGAGGACTGTCATGTTGGAATTCCATGATCTTAGGACTCGCGAGGAATGGTTATGCAGAAGAAGCAATTAGCTTGTTCTCTCAGCTCGAGTCATCCGATTTTAAGCCAGACGAAGTCAGTTTCCTTGGTGTTCTAACAGCGTGTAATCATGCTGGATTTATAGATGAAGCCACAAAGTATTTACTGCTTATGATGGAAAGACCTGAGGTTAAACCGTCAATAAAGCATTATAGTTGCATGGTTGATCTGCTGGGACGTGCCGGTTTCCTCGAAGAAGCAGAAGAGCTGATAAGAAGCATGCCTATGGACCTGGATGCTATTATATGGGGTTCTTTGTTATCAGGCGGTGCGAATCATCGAAAGGCTGATGTGGCCGAGCGGGCAGCAAAAAATATGATCGAGCTGGACCCCAACGAGAGCTGTGCTTATGTACTCATGTCCAATGTTCTAGCTGGCTCAAATCAGCATGAAGAAGCCCTGGAACCAAGGTTTTCCATGAAGACGAGGAAGATAGAGAAAGAACCAGGAGCTAGTTTGATTGAAGTTGATGGGGAAGTTCATGAATTTGTAGCCGGTGGAAGACTACATCCAAGAGTTGAAGAGATCTACTGCTTGTTAGATGAATTAAGACTGATATTGCAAGATGTTGGATGATTCCATAATTAATAGGCTTAATGATGTAAGAGGTTCTCAGGGAAGTTACGCCACATGAAGAGGAAGATGTTTATATATGTCTAGCATAAGCAGGATTCCTGATTCCTGATCTACAAGAAGTGGACAGCATCAGTGTCCTGGATCGAATTTTACATGATTAATGTCATAAGCTGGAACTTCTATTAATTTATAGCAACAGGAACTAGAAGTCGCGGCAATTCAACCAAGCAGCGGAGAAGCCGTTTGCAAAATCTTTATCGGGTTAAAAATTGTGACGGAAGCTTCACTAGGAGACCTCAGCCACACATTGAGAGTGCCCTTCAACGTACTCCAACCGGCACCTTTGGTCTTGTACAGATAATTTCCCTAGATGAGACACAGGTCTTGGCCATTTTTTATGATTCTGATCTTTATGCAGAGAGGAGGTCTTTTCAACCTGCTCCTTCTGCAATCTCTTTGTTAGTCATAAATTTCTCTCATGTTCAGCATACATCATTGAAGTCCCTGATGCTGTGACCCTCACCTTCCTTAATATGGACCGATTAAAGACGAGGATACATATTTGGCACTCACCTGTCAGTCACCATGAAATTGCAATATGCCTGCAGAGGAGACTGGTCTTTGGGCATAGATGCGGTAGTTCATAGAAGATAAGCCGGCAACAATACCTACACAGAGTTGCCTTCTGCGTGTTCCCACAACTCTAAAGAATGGATAACAAAACGGAAATGCTATTTTTGCTTATGAGACCAACTACCTTAAGCTGGCTCGGATTCTAAGAGGGTCTTGTTCAGATCTTGACTTGTGTTTGTGGGCACCTAAATAAACTCACGAGTCAACAATGTTTTTCTCCTGAAGTCTATGTAGCACAACCGGTGACGGTGATTCTAGGAACACGAAAAGTAGAATCAGGAACGACTTGCCTTGGGCCACCAATTGCACTTTGGGTTTAGTGGGCTGCCATACCCACGATCTACGCCCAAGTCCCTGAAATATTGAATTGCAAGACAATTGTTTCTTTGCATACTTCACGATTTAATTTTTTTTTTGGTCATGCTTCATAATTTAATTAAATACTCTTATCCCCATTTTATATTGAATTGATTATATTATCCCTTGCGGGTCCCACTCTTGATTTAAGATTATTTCTTATTTTTTTTCTACTTTTTCTTTTATTACAATTTTACTAGGGGATAATTACATAAATGGTCCTTAAACTTTTGCCTCATATGTAACGTGATCTCTGAACTTTTAATTTGTTCAATATGATCCTTGGACTTTTGATACATGTTCAATGTAGTCTTTGAGCTACATGAAAATATTCAACGTAGTTCCTCGTCTTGAATTAATGGAAGGGCTATATTGAACATCAAAGATTCATTAAGATTTTCAAATGAGAGGGATTTTCAAAGATTTTCAATCTTATCTTAGCTTGCGCATTTTCAAAGATTTTTTTCAAAATTCCAAATTCACTAAATATATGATAGAATATTTTTACGATCCGGGATACGTGGAGAATCTCAAATTCTCCTTTAACTTATCCCAATTCGACTCCAAGCGATCAAATGCAGGCTTTCTGCGAAAGCTGAAACTGAAGCTGGATTTTGCCGGCCTCTATGGACTCTCCATCTCCAAAGAAGCCCCGCTCTGAATCTGAATCTGAATCCGAATCCGAATCCGATGGCAAGGTAACGAATTCACCTTATGAAGTTTCGTTTTTGAGCATGGTTCTGGTTTCTCTCGGAAGAAGACACCTCTCTGTCTCTCTCTGCTCCCTAAAGAGGGAACGTTGTTTCGTAGAGTCTAGGATTATCGAGAATTTTTAGTTGATGTCCGATATACTGTGGTTGTTTCTAGCATTGATTCGGTCTTATTGTGCGCAAGTATGTTTGTTCCTGTTTACCCTGAATCCATTTCCAGATTTTCTTAACTTTTTAATTTTTTTTTTGCTTTTGGTGAAACTCAATCCAGGATTGGATCAGCTGTTTGCCCGAACAAGTTTTCGGCAGTGTATTATCTCGATTGACATCTAGGGAAGCACAAGCCACTTGTGTTCTTCCTAGGAGATGGAGGCACGTGTGTACTTCTCTAGTCACCGACCTCGATTTCGACTGGCTGGACTTATTGGAGAAGTTGGAAGATAACTTCGAGTTGGTGGAAAGAGGGCAAGATATGTGGAGGAGAGCACACTTTACGAAGATTCGCCTTACACTTTGACTTGAATATCTCATATAAGTCTAGCATCGATCGCTGGATTAAGTTTGCTTTGGCAAAATAGGTTATAGTGCTCGAACTAGATTTCATGCCCGCGTGTTACGGGGATTGTGACCCTAGTCGCTTGCCATATGTGTTACAACGTGAGATACTTATGGATGCTAACGTTGGGTGTTCACGGCGGGCTTCAGGTCTCGGGAACTTTGGCTTGAGCCCTTCCATTTCTTGGCATGTTGGCTGTACGTATCTTGAACAGCTCTCCTTAAATCGAGTAGATGTGAAGGGAGAACTCATTGAGCAATTACTTGCCACTTGTCCAGTATTAGAGAAATTGGTTTTGGAATATGCTCGTGCTTTGGAATGGATTAGTGTTTCTGGCCAATCACTCAAGTTGAAATACTTGTGCATAAGATGGTGTGAGAATCTTCAATACGTAGACATTTATGACACGAATCTTGTGTCCTTCACTTACAAAGGAATAGAAGACCATATTCGATGGTGTTTGGTCAAGGTCCCCCAGCTCTCTGAGATGTCCATTGAAGGATTTATGTCGGAACGAGTGGGTATGATCATGTCTCCGCTCATGTCTCCGCTTTCAAGACTTTCTTATCTGCAGATTCTTAAACTTTACTTTACCATGCCATCCCCTGTAAGAGCACTAATCTTTCCTAAGGTTTCTTAAGTTATTTCCTTATTACAATCTGTGCCGCTTTTGATTCTCTATCTCTCTCTAATATGTAGGAAAGACTAGGGACTTATCTACGTCAACTGCCTAAATTAACAAGCGTCAAGCAATTGGAAATGAGATTTGAAGTATTTGAAGATTTGATTCGACTTCTGTTGACTCCCCTGATCGAGGCATTTCCCTACTTGCAGAGTTTTGCAGTAGAGGTGGGTTTTCGGGCCTCATTCAAGTCCTCATCTATTTAGGCATTAGATTGGTGCAATAGGATCGAATTTAATGAATCAAGCTACCGTTGAATCCTATTCGAGTCTCTCTCATCAGTGAATTGTTGCAACATCATGTGACTAGTATCTACTAGATGTGACCATCGATACAGACAGTTTTTTACTTTGCAAGTTCTTTCTTCCACATGCATTCTCCAATGCAACATATATTATGTTGATTACTCACGTAGGGCATTCTTCTTTTGCCACGGATGATGTACCCGATGGACATGATATGCACGGAGAGAGAACTGAAAACAGTTGTCGAACCTCCCCATCGGTGCCTAAAAGGTGGTGGAATTTCATAATTATTACGGTCAATTTAGTGATCTCGAACTAGTGAATTATTTTATCGACAATGCCATTGCTCTGGAGAAGTTAGTGGTGAATCCCTGTGAAGAAGAATATATCACAGGCGGGGTGAAAAAAGTGAAGGAACCTGGAGAACGTGCTCTGCAACAGCTCAAGGAAAAGTTACCTTCTAGAATTTGAGTTGGTGATTAATTAAAGCATCATTCACGCGGCATCCCCAAACGGCTGGCTTTGATTCTGCAACCTAATCCTCTTCCCCGGTTATCTTTTTTGTCGGATTTACAAATTACGTATCGACTCTTTTGCAATTTTACCCAATATGGTAAGCGGCAGGGCCATGAATAGTGGATGTTTCTGGTTTTTGGTTCAACTTTCTCTTGTGTTTTCCCCTTTTTGTTGGTGATTAAAGTGATAATGTAGTCAAAAGCAAATGTTGGTGTCTGCCTAAATGAAAAGTGCTCGCCACTTGGTACAAACATTCGCCTGATCATGCTACAATGCTGTGCCTGATCACTGCCCTGTCTGCACAAAGTACATTGTGCAGGTACTTACTGCTGCATACCTATGCCAAATTACTACATAATTACAGTCTTGGTACATTGAAGATGCATGTGAGTGAATGCTACGGGTATGACATCAAGTACACCCATATAGCATATGAGATGGATCACTTTGAACCGAGAGAATGAGTGGAAGTAGCCTATTATCTTCATATGCTACAAGACTGACCTCAAAATTGCTTGACACTGGTCAATTCAGGCAGAAGATGAGTTCTTAGGCATCCCAACTGTATCAAATGCACAGCGCAATGCAGGGTCATCAGCCAAGAGGTGGGTGACAGGAAACATAAGAATTTAATAAAGTCTGAAAACCCGATATTGGTTGCTGCTTACATGTAGTAGACATGAAAGTTCTTAGTTCTTAGTATGAGAATCTGCGGACAAGAAAGATAGATTGAAATCCGAGACGTGATCACATGCGTGCGTTCCAAACTCTCTAACCAATGCAAAACTGAACTAGCAAGGGTACATTGTCCATACACGGCGGAGTTCCTATCCGAGACGTGATCACATATTCACATGCGCGCATTCCAAACTCTCTAACCAATGCAAAACTGAACTAGCAAGGGTACATTGTCCATACATAGCGGAATTCCTATCCCAAGGAGAATGAGATTTGTATCATAAACATGATGGAGGACAACCTAATTCTACTTGAACGGTGGTGTCCTCTTGTATTTTATTGCACTGTTGCAAAACATTATCCTCCCACTCTCTAATCTTGTGAAATAAACCAGAGCCATCGAAACCAAGGTTAGTGACTAGAGTGCACAAACAGTTACTTGGGCTTATAGAAACAGTATAACACCAATAACTTCATTCGGCATAACAACTCGCTGAATTCTTTGTGTGATCATAGATAACCTAACTATTATCTGTTAATTGTAATGTCTGCACAACTTATCATGAATTGGTACATATCATGAAATTGGCGAGATATCGTATGTAATATCTCATACCGATCTTCCAAGTCCTAAGTCAATTTCCATTACTCTATCACGATATCTTGCTATTCATGACAAGATCACGAGCCAAAATCAAATTAGCGGCAAAGGGATTCGGCATATCTATCGAGTCCAAGTGAAAGAAAGTCGAATAAACCGGTGGCCATTCGAGGTGGCGAAGGAGCTCAATTCAGGCAGTGCAAACGGCGAGCGGTGGTGTCCACGTGCACAGCCCGCCGGTTCTCCACGTCATCGCCCCCCGCGACCCGACCCGACCCGATCCGTTCTCAAATGCTACTGTGCTGCCGCTACGTGACGCGGCTCTCCTCGTCCTCGTCCTCCTTCTTCTTCATGGCCTCCTCGCTCTACCTCTCTCTCTCCAGGTACAGTTCTCCGATCCTCTCGCCGTTAGCTTCTTCTCCGTCACGACCTCGACCCCGCCGGCATTGACGGACGCCGGAGATTCCGTGCGGCGCCTTTTCAAGCTTCGTTCCTTTTCTTCTTCTTTTTTTTTTGGATCGTGCCGCTATCGACTCTGCTTGGCTCGAGCAGCTTGAGCTTTGGTCTTCGCTTAGCCCCGCATCATTGCTGTGAATTTCTCCTTCGACTGTACCTGGGATTTTGTAGAAGGAATGCGCCTATGAACTCTTGAGGAAAACCCAATCTGGCGCTGGGAACGCCTGCAAGATAGTCTGTTCCGCGGTTGCGCAATGGTTTCTAGCGGGTACTTGGGGCCGCCCGCTCGTGGAAGGTCACGTCGTACATCGCCAGTAGAGTAGAAACTGTTCCGGTGTGCCCGAAATTAAGGAAATTGAGATTAGTGTGCATGCGAAAGTTAGATTCTTTGTCTAGTTTGGGCCGAACTTCAGGTGAAATGAGATTTTTTTAGATGGTTTTCTTTCAGGCGACGCGCGGAGGAATCGAAGGACGGGTCGCCGCGGGTGGTGAGAACTGATGTTCGAGCGTTGAATTGAGGAATCACCCCCGGCTTTGCGGAATTTTTGTGCTGGTGAAGTGAAGGCAGCATGCTGGGTGAGGATGATCTTTGGACTGATGGACTCGTTTGTGCTTTTGAGCTTAGACCGGGCAGGAGGAGGATGTGCCATTCCCAACCCGGTTTCAAGTTGCAGACGGCGCCGCGAGCCGGGAGGCTGGCGACGAAGAAGTGCGAGTCGGGATGTCGACCCAATGTTGCATCCCGCGGCCGGGACGACGGCAATAGTGACAGGTCCTTTCCGGTGAACAGGAATGATACGTTGAGTGACCTCGATTCTGGCCATTGCCATGCTCCAGAAGAGTTTCGAGTGAGCCATCATTGGGTGCCAATTGGCTGGGTTAGGATACATGAACTCGTCCAGACCGTGCAAGCTGATGCTGGCTGGGCCTCGCAGCCCATCGTGTTTGGGGACGACGAAGATGATGTCACGGTCGCGGACATAGCGACTCCGTACCGAGAGAGGCCGGTGGGCCCCACTTGGTGGTGCCATGTAGTTGCGGATCACCCATTCGTCAAATCATGGCTGAGCAATGCACAGTGGCTACATCCTGCCATAAGTATTGCTCTGCGCGATGAAAGTAGGCTGATAAGTGAACGAATGAGGCACCTTCTCTATGAGGTAATTAAAAAGTGTAACGGTCGACATATCCTTTCTTGGCCAGTTCTTTAAAAGTTGGAAGAGATTATTTGTGTGAAAGTTCGGACATTCTTAAGATGTCCGAATTACATTTGTCTTTCGTTTTAGATTGATATAAGATGGTATTTGCTTGTATTTGACTTGGTTCAATGCCTTTCATACTCTTGGTTTTCCTGCCTTTTGACTCTCTTGAAAAACAGTCACTGCATGGACATTTTTTTAGGTCTGTGAAACACTTGTGACTGAACATCTGAGCCAGTAATCTTTCTTTTCTGTTCAAGCATCCTTTTTCTTCATCCTAGTTTGTTTTCTTGGTGCTAAGTTTGCTGCTTACATTGCTGTGAGTGTAAGCAGGAAAAAGATAGCTCAGTAAATGCCAGTCTACTGTAATCACTAAATAGACAATACAATGCCACAACAGGTTTTGTATTATTATTTTTCATTTCTAATAGTTCCTTGTAGAATAAGCAAGTACAAAAAAATTAGTGGTGTCACAGAATTTTCAGCCCTGTTTTGGGTTAATGTAGTGAAAAATTGGTAGTTAGGCTGCCAAGATTACAATCTGGGTCATCTTGCTTAGATATGTGAACAAACAGACATGTTAAGGCAAACCTTCTATCACAGTGGAAAGAGACTGTAAATTCTGACCTAATCAAGCTAGAGCACAGACCAGGTGGGATGTCGAATTCTCAATGAGTTTCGTATGTGACTGCAGATTTAAATAATAATACAGGGTTCAAGATTGACCAGGATATTGACCATAGATCACAAAGACTATAGTGTCATGGGAACAAGTACATACAGATTTGCTGTTTCTTTCCACCTTCTCTGCTGCATAATTTGTTAAGCCTCAAACGTATGGTGTAGTACAATTTTTGACTTCATTTCCTAACAGGTTCCAGTTAGAGTTGCTGGTGGCCTTCTATTTGAGCTGTTGGGGCAGTCGGCTGGTGATCCATGCACCGATGAGGATGACATCCCCATTGTTTTACGGTCATGGCAGGCGCAAAATTTTTTAATTACGGCATTGCACATCAAAGGGTCTGCCGCCATAATTAACATCTTGGGTATTTCGGAAGTTCAGGTTTGTCTGTCAGATTTATAATTTCTGGTTTTTTTCTCGAATATATCTTCCTGCAATTTCCTATTTCCAAATGCACCACTCATTTTCTTGTCAATCTTCATGTAGGAACTGCTTGCTGCTGGAGGTTCTAACATCCCACAAAGCATTCACGAGGTTGTGGCACATCTTGCCTGTCGCCTAGCACGATGGGATGACAGGTGTGTATACTTTTCATCCAATTCAAACTTGCAAATGCCTTATTGACTGACGGCAGTGTTTGCTGTCAACAAATAATGCGAATCTTGATGCCCGCCTCATGAAGGTATAATCTCCTTCTACCTCGAAAAGAATGCGGCAATTGATTTTTTGGCTTGTGGACATGGGTTACTTCTTGATGTTCACTGGTGATGTTTGTAGTCAAACTCCGAACATTCTATGTATTGGGAGTAGCAAGTTCATCACACTTCTGTAAAACTGAATGTTTGACGTGGCTACTCATTCATTCTGTCAACTTAATTAGGGAAGAGAGTTAAATTAAGCAAGCAATGTATGCGTGACCTTTCTGTTTAGCTATTCATGCAACAGAGCACACAGTTTTTTGGTTCCATAGGTTCTGGTTATAGTTCTGCAGATCCTCCTATTGTTTTTTTGAGTACCAAAACTTGAGATACATTGGGTTTTGCACCTGATGATTTCGTTCCTATTTGATGTTTTACCCTTTTAATGATGGAAATTAGCATATGTTAAACGGGTGTTAGACAGTACTGTAATTGAATTTAATTTTTAGACTTTCACACAGCTTTACTTTAGTTAACAGAAAACTTATTACATTGCATCCGTTGTCATTTTCTTGGTTTTTCGCTAATTCATTTTTGCTGTTGCTTTTCTAGATTATTCCGCAAAAACATCTTCGGTGCAGCTGATGAAATTGAATTGATGTTTATGAACAGGTGCTCCTTATGCTACCATCTTTTGTTAGAAGCAAAAGTAATTTAATGCATATTATATGCATGACACGTACACTAAATGTTCCCTTTTATCCTCATGGATAGGAGAACCCTTGAAGACATGCATTTATTTACGATAATTTTAAATCAAGAGATCCGAAGGTTATCAACCCAGGTACACATCTATTCTTCTAATGGAACAATTCCCAGCTGAATGATCGCTATCTATAAGTGTGCTTTGCTTGTCACCCTTCTAGGTTGTTAGAGTAGAAAGATCATTATCCATAAGTGTGCTTGGCTTGTCGCAAGTTTAGGTTATTAGAGTGAAATGGTCACTTCATGCGAGAGAGGAAATAGTATTTGAGCTTCTTCAACACTTGAGAGGGAATGCTGCTCGGACCTTGCTGGAAAGCATACAAAAGAGCACAAGGGAAATGATTGAAGAACAAGAAGCAGTTCGTGGTCGGCTATTTACAATTCAAGATGTCATGCAGAGTACAGTTCGTGCATGGTTACAGGTTTTCCAACAGTTACAATATCTTCTAGCCTTTTCTCTTCTCAATTTTATGAGCTATTACATGCAGTTATCGAGCATAAAATGTGCTATGTCACTGATAAGATCTCTGTTTTTTGTTAATTATAAGTTAGCATTAGTTTTGTAGATTGTTGAGTACAATTGGTGGTTGTGATACTTGGTGGTAGTGACTTTTGAAATTGCAACTACAAACTTAGAGGTATTCTGACTAGACTCGTTCTAAATCATTCATGTCGACTAGCATTATCATACCATTGGTGTACCTTTATATATGAAATTGATGATGCAGTTACTCTTTTATAATAATTCCGTTCCGGTTCTCATTTTGTTCTTTATTTTTGTTTGGCTTACTGCAGTGGAAGGGTTGTGAAAGTGTGATATGTTACTTGTTCTCATTCTTATATGTCTGGTGTTTGCTCACATTTTCCTATTGTTAAATCTAGGACAAGAGCCTCACCGTTACACACAATCTAGGAGTTTTTGGAGGTTGTGGCCTTGTCCTATCTATCATCACTGGACTTTTTGGAATCAATGTAGATGGAATTCCAGGATCAGATGAGTCGCCTTATGCGTTTGCTCTATTTTCTTGCTTCCTGCTCTTTCTGGGAGCTGCATTGATCGCAATTGGTCTCCTTTATCTTGGCTTAAAGAATCCCATTGTTGAAGAGGATGTTGAGGTTAGAAAGTTGGAGCTTCAGGAGCTGGTTCGACTGTTTCAGCATGAAGCAGAATCTCATGCCCTAGTTCGCCAAAATGTTACCAGAAAGAATGTACCTCCTACTGCTGCAGATCTACTCCCAAATGCTCCGGGTTATACTCTCCTCAGCTGAAAACATAACATCAAAGTATGCCCGATATACCGATAATCTATTGCTGCTCTATGAGTTGCCAAATATATTTATACAATTCATAGTCCTTATCTTTAGCAATCAACTAAATCGCTGCACTGAAGTTCATTCTTGGTTGAACATGGTCATCACATATGAAAGGTCACTTTGTGCTTATACAAAAATCAGCATTAGCTCTGTGGCGTCTAGCATTCTTCGGTACATAAAGTTTGTAGTTATGGTGAGTATCAATCTTTCTTTTGCACATACCAAGTGCTTATAGTCCTTAAGTCAGAATCCAATGCACAATTGCAGGGTTAAACTGTTAGTAGTATGTTAAAGTACAATTCTTCAATCCCAGCGGTTGAATCTGTGAACGTTCTCTATGCTGTTACGACCATTTCCTTGGTTGCACAGAAAATTTATACAAACTGATCATTCTCGACACTTCCAAGTGAAATCTAGTTGTCTGGTGCACCATGGCTTCATCATCTTGCTTGTGGTGCTAAGCCAACCAGCTTGTCAAACAGCTTAGAAGAATCAGATGATCTAGCTCCAAATTTATCCTTCCCTTCCAGTGATATTTCACCTTTTCCTTATCCTCACCATTTTTTCATCTGTTATAATATGAAGAGGTTCTTGCTTCACAGTTTGACTCCAATTTATTCTGCTATGCAGGTATCATGATCAGAGACAACCCACAAATGGACAAATATGCCATAGATATATCTTAGATTCATGAGCTACTCCTGGTAACTCTTCGCTATATGAGCCTAAACCCCAGATCCATCTCCTTGAGAAGGATTAAGGATGTCATTGCCATACGTTCTATTTTATCTAGCCTGCGTTGGCATATTGGCAGTGAATTGCCTATGCGTAGTTAGTTTCCTTTTCAACCTTCTTAGTGCAGTTTTCCCCAGTGCGATGACATGAGAAAGTGCAATTCTCCACCCTTCATTCAGAGTAGATTTTCCTCTGTGAAATTACCCATCAACTTAGAGTTTCAAGAGGAGTAGACAGGAGAGATCTGTAGCAAGCCATAACCAAATTATGTACAGGGACTGTTACGAAGGTCCGAGATTATGCTGATTATGAAGGAGTTTGGAAATTTATCAGGCTTTTTTTTCTCGAATTCGTCTTGTTTATATAGCTGTTAGAAAGTATCTGCAGACTTGAAGAAAGCGAAACAAGAGGAGAGTTTGTGTGTGGAATGATATGTTACTATGATTTACAAACTTAGATCTAAAAATTTGAGCGGAGAATTTCGTTGCACGGGAACATCTAACTGAACGAGGGCCCGGCTTACGTTGATGAACCATCTATTAAGGCTAAGGTTCTTATCATAAAAGTTTGTCAAAATTAGGTTGCGATTCCTATTATTTGTGGCTAGCTAGTGAAGTGTATGGTTGGATTCCATCGGAACAGACCGGTCCTATATGACTCTTAGGACGTTAAATTTGTTCTAAGCTGAATCATTCTCCGGTGTCGATGTCAATTCGAAAACATTTCCGCCAAAGTGGCCCACGTGGGGGATGATTTATCTGCATGTGATGAGATTTTCAGTGTAGGGCCAGGGTAATTTTTCAAGCTATAGGATCATAATAAACCGGCAATGAGGTCTTTTAAGCCACTTGCTGAGTATATTAAATGAGATTTTCTTACAATAAATTCTCGCTTATTACGAACATCGCAATGAATCTTGTTTCCCTCATTTGATTGCTTCGCAAAATGCCTATCGATACTTGTTAATAGGTTCTTGTAAGAAAGTTTGAAGCTGAATTTGCTTGTGCAGATGATCGATCACTGATAATGGCGGTTGCTGCGGCTATCTCGTATTGGCGGAGCCTATGCAGGACCTGACAACAAGCTGGTTGGTGGTGGTGGTGGTGGTGGTTGGTTGCCGCTTGTTGACGGTGTCGGTTGTGCGAAAAGGAAGGCAATTCCTTAAATGTTTTTGCACCGTCTTAGGCACGATTCTTTCTATGTCAACTCGTCGTTGATGACGAAATTAAGGTTGTGGCTTCCAAGCGATACAGGGGACTCGAGATCAAACAAAAAGCTGGCATGATGCCGAGTGCAGACGGCATTAAAAGCCTAAGCTATAGCCTTTTTCTAATTTTCTAATTTTGGTTACGAAAAGCTTTACTCATTTGATGCAATCGTCCCTGTATCATCCTGCACTTTTGAGCTCACTTTTTAAGATAAGAATCGTCACGATGTGGCCAACAGAAGTCGCTATTTTCCTCAACAAGTTAAACGCCTAGGAACCCCACCTCAATCTATCGTGCACGACATACAGGAGCTATATAATTCATGAAGGAAGATGACTATTTTTGCTAATAAATTAGAACCTCCTCAAAACCCAATTTGGCATTCATTAATCATTCTTGGGTCCTCACCAGTCACTGTTATACGATGTGGACGATGTTGGATCTCGGATTAATGATCTATAGCAGTGAGACTGGGGCGAAGAGCCTCGCATGGAATTTTCGTTGGTTTGACTTGGTTATAATCATGTGCTGACACGTGGAACCACCTATCTATATGGCCTGGACTTTTAGGCATCGGCGCACTGCGCATATAAAAAGATCATATATTTAATTTATTAATAAAGCCCATTTGAGGTTTTGATTGGGGCAATGGAGAACAGTTTATTGGCCATTCCTTCAATATGAACTTATCCCACATCTCCACTCCAATGTCCAAATGTGGGGTAGCAAGCATTAAATCGGACCCAGTCCCGTTGAAATAAACTAAATAAGAAAGAATCGGAAGATTACCAATTCAACGAGTTCTAAACATATCAATTTTGCCAATATAATTCTAAATTCCGCGCGGAATTCCATTGCAATGCTTCCACTCAATTGCCACTGGAAATTGCTGATGTTGGAATCCGCAAGCAACGTGTCATGTAAGACGGCCGGCAATGACTGGACACCATCGCGTTAGCGATTTCTAGCAGCAATTGGCTGGAATGACTATATTAGAATTCCCCGCAAAAATTTAAGACTACATTGGCTAAAATTAAAAGTTTAGGATTGAATTGACTTTCGTACAATGAGTCTATGACTAATTCGGTAATCATCCATAAAAAAGATTGGTATTTGGGTCTCACTTATCTTGGATACTTAGGGAATAAAAATGAAAAAGAAAAGGAGAAGAAGTTTAATTCAATCAAGCAGTAGCAGGTAGTCACTTGGAAGCTGCTCATTATAGAAGAAAATGAAGCAAATGGAGCTGGAAAAATCAAGCTGGACATAGCAGCATGCAACCCGTGAATGGTGGAGCTGCGCGTTGACAGTTTTGAGTGCTGATGCCGGAGTTACTCCAACAACAACGGACCTTTAACGTTGGCAGATCCAGTTCCTGTTGGTCAACAAAAATATCTGAGCCCTTTGCCCCTCTTTTCTTTTCCTCGCTTTGTTCTTTCGTGGAAAAAAAGAGAGAATTTTGAAAGATCTGTTCTTTGGTTTTTTGCGAAAATAAAAGTCAAAAGATGAGCAGGCAGGAAGATTGGACCCGACCCAAGAAGTGAGTGAGTAAGACCAAACAAAATCAGGAGCCCTGACCAAAGATCTCGAGACCCCCCACCTCATGCATTTTTCCTGAAACACTAATGCAATTTTTCCTTGGAAAATGAACTGGAAAAGTTCTTCAGATCAAGCTTTTCTCAGATTTGCATGCTTTCAGTATCTGCAGTTTGTCCAAGATTTCCAGTTGGGTCAAGCCTTCCACACATGTAAATTCATGCGCGGCGAGGCATCAGTTGGCTTCTGTACTATTCCGACTCGACGCGCTCGATGACTCTATCTATCAAGTCGCGATCCACGAACCAACGATGCAAAACAACCAACTACTGTTGATATGGGAAAACATGATATGGTATCGACCATGTCCAACGTCGACCAGCTTCGACTTGCATACATGGTTCTAAACTTCCAACTCTCTTTCCTGCATCAATTAGCTCACTGAATTTGGTAAACAATTGCCAAGACTCACAGAACCATCCTCGTCAACCAATAGTACAATCCACCATATCCGCAGCTAAAACAGAGTGCTTCTTATTTCGGTGAAGAGTTCACTGCTGAAAACTGCGCTTTTCAGGACAGGTACTACGCAAGAAGTACGACTCTGGGAAGTTAGAAGCGATTGTGACAGGTTTGGAAGTTTAAAGCGTGATCCATGCTCTGGGGTGTCTCCTTATTTTGACTCTCAGCCCAACTACCTCTCAGAGCCATGCTTCTCCTCTGTAAATGAGTTGACTTGCAGGTGGCCCTTTCCTCATCATTTTTTATCCAAGAGGGGGAAAAAAGAATCCTCCAAAACGCCTCCAGTTTCTGGGAGTTTTAGGGTGCAGATTCACCATGGATGATGAACCTCTCCTCTCCGCACCAGGACCTGCCGAGACATCGAGCAGGTTGACGGTCCGGAGAGGTTATCCTTCAGGTTTCCTTGATCTCAACATCGGCAACCTCGGCACGCCGAGGCGGCAATCCACGACGCACCTCATAACAAACGATGCCATCATCCCCATAATCACAACGCCCCACTCTTCTTCCTATGTGAATCTCATCGCCAACCTGACCAAGAAGAGACAACTCGCCCACCGCTCGCACTCGGCTCCTTCCGTGCTCACCTTTCACAAGGAAACCATAATCAACGAGGAGGATCCCCGGCTGCCCCCTAAATCGCCTCTGATTGTCAGGCAAGCCTTCATCGGCTTCGTCTTGTACATAATAGCCGGCATTGTGGTATACTTGACGAGCGGGAGCTTCAAAGGCACAACCACGTTCAAACCGGTCGATGCTCTGTACTTCACCATGGTCACTCTTTGCACAATTGGCTTTGGCGATATCGTGCCGGACACGACATTCACCAAGCTGTTCACTTGTGCTTTCATACTGGTGGGCTTTGGATTTGTCGATATCCTGCTCCATGGCATGGTCACCTACATCTGCGACCGGCAAGAGGCGGTTTTGCTGAGCACTGTGGATCAAAACAAGTTCAATGCGATGGTCAGGACTTATATGATCGACAGAGAGAAGGGAAGGATGAGAATAAGGATGAAAGTGTGCGTGGCTTTGGCGGTTGTGGTTAGCTGCATAGCTATAGGGACTATCGGCGCGCATTTCGTAGAGGATTTGGGCTGGGTGGATAGTTTTTATCTGTCTGTTACATCGGTTACGACAGTCGGATATGGGGACTATGCATTCACGACGTTGGCAGGAAGATGTTTCGCCATAATTTGGCTACTGGTAAGCACATTGGCGGTTGCTAGGGCATTTTTGTACCTGACTGAGCTGAGGATCGACAAGAGGAATCGCAGAGTCGCGAAATGGGTTCTGCAGAGGAAGATGACCCTTGGGGATTTAGTTGCTGCAGACCTTGATAATGATGGATCTATCAGGTAATTGTTTCTGCTCGGTCTGTGAGTTTCTGCTACACTTGTGCAATTCCAATTTTTCTCCCTGAAACTTTGCTAAGTTGGATAGTAACTCCTGTCATTATTTAGACAACTATCAACACATTGCTGTTATTGGATAAACTTTAGAACAATAGACATCATTGGAACCAAAACCATCATAATGTGCAATTAAAAAGATAATAAAAACTTCAGAACTGATGCCTTAGGAGGAGATTCTGATCAGCTTGACGAGTTGAACTTTCCAAAGATTTACGAAGATAAGTCCCTGGCCCTGCCAAAGTTCAGGAAGCATGCACTGTTATCATCTGCTTGGTGTTCATGCTCAGTGTGCTCTGTACGACCGAAGAATGCAAGTTTTTGGGTTGATTAATGTGGAAGTGTTTGTTTTGACGTTATCATTAATAAATAGTAACGAATTCAAGTTGAAATCTCTTATAGTCGATTGAATGAGGACACAGACAAGTGTATTACTTTGAAGGCCATAAGCAACGTACTTCATATATCGTGAGTAAGCATGTCGAGAAGTATAATTGCGAGTTACTGTACACTCTTAGTAATGGAATGTGCTGGAGTAGAGCTGGTAGCCTGTTAGGAGTGAATCCAAAATCCGAATAAACAGTACGGTGAATCTAGTAATTAGATTCAGGGATAGGAAAAGACAGATAACTTGAGCTCTACAGAGAAATAAGCCCTGTAAATAGAAACAGATAATCTTGATGCTAAAAAGAGCTGCGTTGTTGTAGGAAAGAGAAAAAGAAAAGAATGTGATCTGGGTTATGAATGCCTGAAAGAAATCCAGTGCTACTTTCAGAGCAGATGTAAAGTAAATCAGAGAATAGCAAGATTTAATTGACGGAAACATGCTCAACAAAACCAAGTTAAAGCCAGCAAAGCGTGGCAGAGGAGACGACTGACTACACATCGAGCCACCTTTAAGATCACATTAGAAAGAGTATTTTAAGATAGAGTCAACATTAATGGTGCAATTAAACCTGTGACCTTTGAATTCTTAAGAAGAAAAAATGCGCCCTCGGATGCTATTATTGAAATCGAGCATTCATTTATCAACAAATGAGGCATTGGAATTTGAACTGCCTAAAATGTTGTGTCGTAGTCGGATCACATGATTTCTCATTCCTAGTTGATATAGTACTAGTATATCATTAAGTAGTACGGAAGGCTGAAAGCGATCCAGTCTTTTCTCAGTATTAATATACCAAAGAAGACCTCGAGCACATACCATCATGTCTGTCCCTCCTCTGTATGCTTAGTGTACTCTAACTATATCGTCAAAAGCTAATGCCCTTCTGAAGAAGTGTATGTGGCTTCATCCTACATAGTTCATTTGTTAGTACAGATTGCTGATCTTGAACACAGAGTTGATAAATAAGCAAAATGAATATTGTCACCCTCCAGCATGGGAGGAACTGGAAGTTTCACAAAATCAAGGTCTTTCCCTTGAGAATGTTAACAGTTAAATCAGAACATAAGCCCCTGTTTAGCTTGAATGTACTATCATCAGCAAATTTTACTCTAAATCATTTTCCTGGATCGTTCTTTCATTTTTCTAGTTCAAGTGGATACCATGTCTTTAATAGTCAGTTACAACCTAAAGCATGGGTTCCAAAGGAGCTTGCACAAAGTTGATTCTGGTTATTTTGGTTGGAGATGGACAGAAAATGCTTTTATCAGTTCATGCCTAAAAAATATGTAGTACATTCATATTCAAGATCCTTTATTCCGAATGAGTAGCTCTAGAGGCGTCAACTCCTTCCTAAAAATAAATGCTTATTGAATTCATTAGATATTTAAAGTGAATATATATTATGCTATATATATATATATAGATACTATTAGCATACAAAGATATTAAGCATTGCCCTCGAAGTTGAGAACTCAAGATGTCTAAATTCCAACTTCTGCGCTTGCAAGAGGAACATGACATCAAATCTTCAGAGACAAGATCAGCATTACGGGCTCAAATGGATCATTAACCATTTTGGGAAATGAAGCAGACAGAATGGGAAAGTTGAATTAACAGGAACTTGCAGATTATATTTCATCCTCATTTATCATAACTGCAGAATGGATATCTAAACCATAGGGACAATTGGCTTATTTTGAAGCTTGTCTTCAAAACTGGGATTATTTTCATACGATACACTGTGTTGACATACATTCCTTGCTTTCTTCAAGTTTTTCTAGCACTTAATAAAATAGCTTCAAGGAAGGAAGGAAGTTTAATGTTGATTTTGATTCCTGCAGCAAAGCTGAGTACGTCGTATACAAGCTTAAAGAGATGGGTAAAATAGCTGAAAAGGACATTGTCCAGATCTGCAACCAATTTGACATTTTAGACAACAGCAATTGCGGCAAAATCACGCTCGCTGATCTCATGGAAAGTGACTGAACCCCACATCGACTAACAATCAACATAACAAATTCCTACCTTCGCAGTCCTTGAAAGCAATCCCTTACTCTTTACAACCAGAGTGCATGGAACTGAAGGTTGGGTGACCTTTATACGTCAAGTACTAGACCAGATGAAGTTGAACGAGGATTATGATTGGAGCCATTCCCCCCATTCTCAGACAAAGATGACCAGAGACCTCAAACTGAAGCCAGCTATTCGATGATTGTTCCAATGGAGTCAGCTCTCAGCTCCCCATCCAGATTCAAGACCGACGTATAGAGTGTATAGAGGAAAATCAACACTCGATCCGTTGTTAATTAGTTGTATATGCAATCGGTTTAGACAACTTACCTGATCTATTAGTAGACCACAGGAGCAATGTCTACTGGTAGCTATTCTTTCACACAAGGAACCACACAAGATCTATTTTAGAATATCATTGCTATTTTGATTCTCATGCAATGCTCACTGAAGTATCATCTGTACGTGCCATTTTTACAGATATGTATGTAGGAGGAGAAACTGTCCTGCGTACAAATACATGTTACTTACTCATAAATCCTCTAGTCACTTTTAAAGAACAGAACTATGAGGGAAATGATTTTGAAGAGATTTGTGCTATATAATACACAATTATCTCCCTCTCTCCAGGATGTGTCATGTAGAGGAAACCCCAGTTCCACTAGAGAATCATGAAGCACTTCACTAGATGCAGCAGAGAAGTACAATCTAGAGACATGATTTTTCCTTATACTGCAACAAGATCTCTACGTTGCTGTTGTACTAAGTGAGGACAAGATCTTCACTCTAATTACACGAAAACAAAGTAAAGTCCTATCATCTCGTTGTCACTCTACTATTTTAACTAGTCTTATTAGAAGTTCATTTTAAGTATAATGCGCTGACACGGATTGTTGTTAGAATAAAACTTCCATGCGCTTTTCCTCTCATAATTCCAAGTAATGCACATAGTTGAATAGCTTTACCTAAAACAAGTCATTTATCATTTATTTGTCACTGCATTTTGAAAGATATGATATCCAAACTCATGAACAATCTTCCTACTCACATTTCCTGAAGGCTAAGTCCCAGAGTTACGTCTTGCAAATTAAAAGACTGAGCGAAAAACGAGATTGAAGTTGTCAGAGTCTTAATGCATATTTACACGAATAGGCCTGTCATATGTTCCTCAAAGCACAACTAATGGTAACCGAGACAAAGGGTTCTAATAAATGATCCTAAAAGTTACAGTATAATCTAACTAGACATCAACCTTTCGCAATCTCTGTTTTCAGAACAATGAAATTACATGAAGAAGCAAGAAAACAAGAAGAAATCCATATGAATTCATGATTCATATTGAACAATTCCAAAGGCATACCAGCAGAAGCTACAAAGAACTCATATATGGCTAGATTAAATGAAAATAATTAGCAGTAACGTTTTTTCTTCTACAACACAGAATTATGTAATCTTGGCCATTCTCTTGAGGAGTTGTCTGAATACCGTTTGATTTATCCTGATTACTACTTTATATTGCTTGAAACATACAAGATTTTTGGATAGGAGGTGCAAAGTGGCATACAAACATGGGATAAAGAATTCTATTTTCTATTTAATTTCACACCAAAATAATGCAGCATAAAATTCATAAAACAAGAAAAATAATTGGGACTTCATCATCCGTATTTTCAAAACAGTTACATAGCTTGTGCTTCACCATTCCTCTCTCAATTTACTTCACTACATCCCGTCGATAATCTACACAAAAATGTATCGGTAACGATGACTAAGATAATCAAAACTTACATATCTAATACACAATCACTTACCGCCAGCTGGCAAATAATCAACATAATATTTCGCAAACTATGTAGTCTCTACCTTCTGCATCATACCTGAGATCCTGTTGACCAAAGAGAGCGAGACATAAAATACTGTCTGGGATCCATAAACTACAAGCAGTAAGAAGAGGAGAACACACTAGATTAATTGATATAACTCCATGCACAGTAGAAAGTACCTCTCCCTGATGTCCCTGACGCTCTCAATAAGTTCAATTATCTGTTGCATCCTCATGTTTTGTCGATTCTCCTTGACATCTAATATTAAAGTTGAGACCATTGAGATGGTTGTGAGTTCTTCTTCGATCTTCTTTAGTTGCTCGTCAAGCCCTTCCAAAAAATCATCAAAGGAAGAAATTCTATTCAACCTATCGACCACGTGATTCTCAATATTTCTACTGACACTGACATGTTCTTCGATATGGTCTGCATTATTGTCAAAAGCTAGATTTCCTTCAGGACTAAGAGAAGCATCCGAGTCTGTCCTTTCGCCATTTTCCGAAACACCAGGATCAGAACTTTCTTTCTCGTGTACAACTTCCAATATGTCCTGCTTTGGAGACACTATATGAACTGGATTGGACATATTATTACTGCCAACTTCAAGATCTGCAGCTACATTTCCAATAAGCTGAGACTCTTTAATAGATATCGCCTGGAAAAAAAATCAGTTTTACGATCACGATTCACCAGACAGGATTTGGGTTAAGTACCAGAACTTGCACCAACTAACCCAATCGATTTAAAAGATAACATACATGAAGGAACGATTGACTTTAAAATGTCACGAACCAGAAAAACCAAGGTATGAGAGTGTTAGAGTCTGATATCAACTACAAAGATAACACCAGAGTGACCATGCCAAGAGACCAGGAAATTAAGTGCAAACAGTAGCATACCATGAGAGAAAGTGTGACTCCTTTAGCAAAAAATAAGGATCAGACTTACGCATGCATAACAGTAACGTACCTCATTTAGCTTAGCAGAGAGTTCGTCCAGCAACCGAATCCGGCTATTTGACTTCTCCAGAGCCTGCATTATTTTCTTCTTCTGCAACAGCAGTTCCCTCGCATCATTTTCCTTCCCTGTTTGGACGTTGATGGATGCCTGTCGCCGTAGCTTCTCTGCAGCCTCGGATAACCGCAACAGCCGCAATCTCGCATTATTTGCTGAATGAAAAACCAAAATCATTCAAGACCTCCAAAATACTAAAGCATTGTATGGATGAGTCTAGCAACCAAAGGATATTATTGTTGATGTCGGGGTAACTACATTGACAAGGCAAGGAAGAACATCCTACTTCTTCATCGAGGAAAAGGAAATAGAAAGACAAGAAAGTGAATGATGTGGGAGCACGTCCTACTTACTGCATCGAGTACTACAATCCAAAACTAGAATATTACAACGGCGGAACAAATAGATTACATCTACAAGGCAATATGCATGTTCAATGGATATATCAATGCCCTACTGTCGTGCCTAAACACCCTTGTCGTACTTGTGTCTTACAATGCAACATTATATTTCACTTTTGGCGGGATACTTAAGTAAGTTCCTCCGAGTATTCTTCTGGTCCACTGACTACTGACAAGGCAAAAAAGAACAGCAGCAGCCTGAGAACCATCTTCCCTGTATAATCAAACTTCCCTCACAGACCCAAATTCCTACCAACAATTTAGCCAACAACATTGGAAAAGAAATGGAAAACAACCCAGTTTCGCGTAAAGGGCATCAAAATTTTCCTCGAGGAAGAACTTGAAACAGCCTAGAAGCAAACTCCTTCGCCTAATTCCCCACAGCATGGCAAGTGTACTCGCCTAAAATTATCCCAATTAGCAACCCAAAAATAAAATTTGGAACTTTTCTAGCAAACATGATCGCTATCAGCAAACTGCACAGCATCGAGGCGGCTCTCCTATCAAACGAACTCTATATTCTACAAGGGCCGCGACCCAACAAAAGAAGCACTCGAGGGCAATCAACGAAGCCGAATCAAGAGCCATCCAATTCGAAATTGGGCATGAAAGACACCTTTTGCTCGTGAGAGAGAGGAGGAGAAGGAGATACCTTTGGTTCTGGTGGTTTCTGCCTCTGCGTGAAGCTGATCGAGCTGAGCGCGCAGTTGCTCCGTGTCAGTGGTGTGGGCGGAAGCGAAACACATGGGTCGTCTCGACGAAGGCCGACAGGCAACGACCATGGGCATGTTTCCGCACCGCAGCATCATCTTCCTCTGCCTTTGTTTTGGCTCTCGCCAATTGGGATTTTGCTAGAATGGGCTACTCATCTCGTTCGGACACCTCCATCAATTATCTCCCCCCACAACAAAAAAAAAGTGAACTTTAGTTGTTTGTCCTAACGAACAAAGTTAATAGAGAGAGAAGCTAGACCAAAAAGATTAACTTGTTCTGTTTGGTAAGAGTAAAATTCACTTCTTGTGGGACTAAAAGGTTGCCGATCTTGCAGAATGTGATGGGATGGGACAGGGGAGCCAAACACTGAGCCGCAGGTAAAACGAGGAATGGATGTTTTTCCCTCTTTTACATTGTTGCGAGAGAGCGGTTTTCCGAGATTGAACTGATCGAGGTTTGCATGCAGTTCGTGGAATGGATAGACGAGGGAGCAAAATGCCCTCATTGCGAAGGCCTCGGTCATGCAATTTGCGATGTATGTTTGAGGCAAAACAGTGGTTAAGGCGGCCTTTACAATTTTGTTCGAGTCCTTTCAGTTATACAGACTATCTTTAGATGTATAGCTCCTGCACAGCAAGAATCACTAGCAATAGTAGACAGTATCATTGTTCAAGAAACCGAATCGCAAGTAAGACATGCCTGCAAGAGGCGTTTGAAGCATTCGAGGCAGCAGGCGTTGAATATCAGGCTGGTCCAAAGAAAACAGAGGCGCCGATGAGCATCTACGATTCTTTAGTGCAAAATCATTTTTATCTGTTTTGCTCTCATGTCCATCTTCTTTTTTGTTTTCAGGTCGAACGAACTCGAAGGTTAAGGCTGTGCGCACTACGGCTGAAGTGGCTTTGGACCTGGTGAAAATATAGTTTGCTCCCACTCGCGCGCTGTTTTCTTTTGATGGTCTATATTCCGTCCGATGCCTGAATGCTTCAAATGCCACTTGAAGGAGTACAGCCAAAGAACATGATTGTTGGCTATGGATGCTTTTTGTTTCTTTGGCTGAACAGATGGGTGGAGCATATAGGCTGCCACACAGAGTTTAAAAGGACGGCAAATGGTTTAATAGAGACTTGTATTTTCATGCTAGAAAGAACGGCTTACCTAAACTCGCTCCCGCTCTAAGAATGAAAATCGTGTTAAAAAGGACGATAAATGGTTTAACAGAGACGCTTTTTATTTTCATGCTAGAAGAGTGACCTAGCTAAACTCCCTCCTTCTCTTAGGATGAACATTGTATTTTGACTTTTGCCAGAGAATAAATGTGCCGTGCGTTTACTATGATTATTTCGAAACAATCCACGAATCTCCAATGCACTTATTTTGATTATTTCTAAATCGGTCCTTCTCTTTTTGCACAACCGATGTGAGTCCATGCGATTGTTTTACATTGGCCCATCGGACTAAGATGCTCACTCTGGAAGGAAAAGACTCCCAAGCAGGATCATGTCCAAAATATGAACATCAGAGGACGAAGGTTCGTGAGCATACGTGAAGATTGGTGGGCCGAATGTTCGGTCCTACCATGTTGTCAGAAAGAAATTATCTCCTTATTTATCCTATTGACAAACAGCGGGATTGATATTCTATTTGCAATACATTGGGACCCAAAATTGTTTTTCCTCTCCACGAAACACAAATACATATTATTTGTGAATCCTTTTCTTCGTTAACATAGTGAACATATATAGTTTGCTAAATCCAACCAGGGTGGTTGGGCTTTAGGCCCATCCAAGTGGCCCAATCGCATCAACAACATTCCATCACTTTAATACCTCTTTTGATTACAAGCTCCCGTCAATAAGCCCGACGCTAGTAAACAGATATATGGCCCGTTTGGTTCAGCATTTGGAAGGGGCTTTCGGCCTCGAAAGCCCCATGGCCAAATGCTAGCATTTGGAATGCTAAACCCAAATTTTTTATCCCCAAACTACCCTTAGTTATTTTGGCTTATTCCGGTTTTGCCCCTCGTGTGTACTGTTCATCTTCTTCTTCGTGAGGTGGCCGGCGAGGCGGCCGGCGCCGGATCGGGCCGGCAAGAGGCCGGCGGCCGTCGCCCGAGTCCGGGCGACCCTCGGCGAGGTCACGGGACCCAGGGCGGCCGCCGCACTGGGTCGTGCGACCTCGGTCGACGGCCGCTTGGGTCGCGCGACCTCGGTCGACGGCCGCTTTGGGTCGCGGGACCTAGGCGCCGGCCGCTGGGTCCCGCGACCCGGGCGGCCGCTTGGGTCCCGCAACCTTCGCTAGAAGGTCACCCGGCCTCGGGCGGCGGCCGGAGCCCCGAGGATCCGGCCGCCGTGGTCACCCAACCTCGGGCGGCTGCGCGGCGCGCCGAGATACGGCTCGCCGGCGGCCGGCCGGCGCCGGCTCCGACGAAGGGGTAAGTTAGGTTTTTTATTCCCAAAGTCCATTTGCAAAAATAATTCACTAAACACTATATTTTGGCCAAAGTAGCTTTACAAAATATTTTTACCAAACACCATTTGTATTTCCCCAATGGGCTTTCACCCAAAGGTATTTGCATTCCCCCAAGTAGCATTTTCAAAATTGAACCAAACGGGCCCATAGACTACCTAGACAAATATGCATGTGGTCACTCCCTTAGTTAGTAGGCTCACAAATATTTTCTTGTTCGCCATGAGCCTGTGTTCTGTTTTGCCCAATGCTTTGTAGTCTTTTTGGTCTCGTGATCTTGTGGGTTGCTTTAACCTAAAAGCAATTTAGGTAAATAAACATTTAATTGAGCACAATTTAGCCATGGCAAGGTTGACCTCACTGGCCCTCGCCTCTCGCCGGTTTGAAGAAGAAGGGAAGGAAAAAAAAAAGAAAAATAAATAATTGAAAGATTTATTAAAATATTATTTAAAGATGTCCACGTCAACACTGGCCGCGCCACGTATGACGGCTGGTGTCCATGTGGATTTCCGGCCAAAATTGACCAGATGAACTAAATTAGCACAAATACAAAAGGTTTAAGACTTAATTGACAAAAAAAGAAATGTTTAGGACCGAATTGGCATAATTGCAATAGGTTTTAGACTTTTTTGGTAATTTTCCCAACAATTTTGTATGTATCAAATTCTCAAAACGTGTTGTAATGCTATCAACAGTTCATTTTACACTTACTAGCTCTTTCAAAAATCTTTCGGCACAAAAAAGCTAGTTTTTTTCAACGGGACGGTAGAGCCATCCATATATCCCAAGTTAGAAAGAATCTGATTTAAGTTACCATCAAACTGCACCATCGCAATGAACACCAACAAGATCATCCTTTCCAAAGATTAAAAGGTGAATAAGAGACGTGAACGGTTTATAAAACCCCAATCTCTTTCAGACGAGCACATACCGATCCTGTCCTCTCATGGGAACATCGTACAGCATATTGGACCAAAGTTTGTACTTTTGCGCGCGGTTCTTTCGAGATGATTACTTGCACTTTGTATCTTTGCCAATTGCGACGTACATCCCCTTTTGCACCGTTCGTGAATGGGACCAAAATCCTCAATCAATCGTGTGCCCAAAGAAGGGTTTGCGTGCGCTTCCTTCCTGTCATTCTTGAGCTGATTTTGCACCCGTGGAAAGTGTGTAAAAAAACTGGAACCCAATTGCGGTAGAGTTTGTGGAAGAAGTTTGAACAATACTACTCCGAGGTCCGAAGAGCTCCCTTAACTTTCGTATGTTAGGCAGGTGAGAAGTTGAGTGAAGCATTGAACTGCTTGATTAAGAAAACAAAGAAAACATTATTGAAAAATCATCACTAGAAAAGAGCAAATCATGGGATTGGAAAACAATACCCCCACAGGCATATACATACATACATACATATATATATTTATATATTCTTGTACTGTCCCCAATCTATATGATGAATTTGAGTTTTATTTAGGGTTTAGCTGGTTGGTAAAATATGACCAAATACATTTTCAAGATCCCTTTTCCGCAAGATGGTCTCATGTCATATGTACCCACCCACAAGAAAATAAAGTAAGATGTAATTAGGATCGTTTGCTAGAATCATGAGAAACAAGATGCAATCCATTGACTATGTGTCATTACGTACATTTACACATGTGTAAGTCATGTCCTTTACATGTGTTATTCATTTTTGGCCCTTGCCTCTTTTCGCAAAGGTCAGTAAAGCCGAAGTCATGCAAAGCGATGATTGTATACTCCACTGAAAATCGTCAGGCCCATTTAACAACAATACACGCCTTTTCGCAGAGTCGATGAATGGATGTAGGGTTCACATATTATGCGATGAGAAGAGATGTATACCCACTCCCTATCTTAAAGGAAGCCAGTACCCACGAAATAAAGTTTTGCTCCGTATTCTTGTATTGTTTGAAATATCCCGCATCGCTTGACTACGAGATTTATATACTTTTTTATGTACGCACATATCCTCCCTCCACTTATCGGTTTTAACTTTTAGATTAAGCATTCTATCATAGTATCGAAGCCAGTTGGATATTTGAACGATAAAAAATTGAAGTGACGGATTTGCAGGGAAAATTATCCAAAAATTCCTAAATTTATTGCACTTTGGTTAATTCCGTCATAAACCTTTCAATTTTGCCAATTGAGTCCATCTTGTCAATGTGGACTGCTGACATGGGGGCCTTGCCTAGGGCCTTCGCGATCACCACAGAAAAAAAAAAGACAAAAAAAAAAGGAAAAGAAAAGTAAAAATTTCAAAAAAAATTATAAAAATATAAAAATTGTTCTTGTCAGGGATGGCTGTGTCACGTATGACGACCGCCGTCTACATCAACGATTTCCGATCAAAATTAGTCGGATGAATTCAATCGGTAAATTGTCAAAAATTTAGAATTCAATTGGCAAAATTAAAATATTCGCGGCCAAATTGATTGAGGCACGATAAATTTAGGACTTTTTCGATAATACTTTTCGGGATTTGCACGTAGCCTCCACCGGAGATCCTCTATTTACTTGGCACGCGGCACGAGAATCTCCGAAAATCCGTGGGGGTGAGTGATGCGACAAGGCATCATCATCATCATCTTTCGCAGATCCCGATCGATGGATGGATCATTCACGGGAGATGTCGGGGGGAGCCAAGGAGAAGAGAAAGGCGTGAGAGAGAAACAGGACAGACGGAGAGAGAGAGAGAGAGAGAGAGAGAGAAGAAGAGGAGGAAGAAGAAGGGGGAGCCTACGTGAGTGACGTGCGGTCAAATGACGGTGCCCAACCCCCGACCCCAATCGTCGTCGCTCGCACCCAGCCGCAATCTCGGAATCCCAAATCCCCCACCATTTGGCCCCGCTCTCTCCGGTCGTAACGTGCGCCACCGTCTCTCTCTCTCTCTCTCTCTCTCTCTCTGCTGCCGTACTGCCCATGAAACCCTACTTCTTTTTTGTGTATTCCGCTTCGTATACCATACTCCCCCGATCCCTGCACGCAAACAGGAGGAGGCAAAAAGACTTGTAATCGGCATATATATCTTTGTACGAGCGTATAGGCAGATGCAAGATACACAGGCGTACGTGATTCTAGGGCTTAGAAGATACTTGCATGAGCTGCCTAAAACAGATGGGCAAATAGTTCACTATATATGTAGAGTTCGCCATGGTAAATTGGTTTGCTGTCCTTCGCTTGGACCACGGGAACGATACTAGAGTTACAACACTTAGATATGGAGAAACGGCGTTCTGATTCACGGACTATAAAAAGTATGAGTATCGTCCGTATTTATATTAGTTAGCTTTGAAGAAAGTTTTCCTCGATCATAAATAATCAAGAAATATAGCCCATTAGAAATATACTTCTATATCGCCCTTTGCTCGAACCATTAAGGTTTATCTGGAGAAATAACTTAATATTATCATATATTTAAAAAGTGGGTTGTATTCAAATATTCAATGATAGTCAGGCACATCACTGTTTCAATCAATTTGAAATTCTATGACATTATTCAAGCGATCACTTGCTTTGACCCAATTATTTGCACACCCCTCCACCTATTTTTTCTCTCTCTTTCTCTCTCTGAGCTATCCTTTTCACTAGAACAAAGACAACCTCCGCAAAAGCTCCCATCTCATTCTTCTTTCAACACTATTGCAGCTTCAACACCTCTCTCTCTCTCTCTCTCTCTCTCTCTACTCTTTCTTCTAATTCAACTCAAAATTAGCAGCTTCCGTCTTTCCACCATGTCTGAAGGCAAGAGCAATCCTTACAACAGTTTGGATCCTTTCAACTACAGTTTCTCACCCTTCCCTACCTCTAACGACAGTAACAATCCCTTCTTCCACCATAATCATACTCACCAACACCACCTGCTACAGGCAACACAAGATCATTCATCAGCTCCCTCGAACTCTACCTTCAGAGCCTTCTTAGATGGTTCCGTGGATTACAACACTCTCTCAAGAGCCTTTGACATGTCTTGTTGCTCATCCTCTGAAGTCGTTAGCACTGACGGTTCGAGAAAGAGTGCATCGATCTTGAGCGAGAATAACAACCAGTCAACCCCTAATAATTCTTCATCGGCCCTGTCTTCATCGTCCGAAGAGAAGGCGGCCGTCAGATCCGAAGACAAAGACAAGGGCAAGATCACCCAAGATGAGCGATCAACAGGATGTCGTGAAGATCATGACCAAGAAGGGAAGGCTAAAAATGGGTAAGTTTTGAGTCTGGTCCACCTCGTACTTGCTTTTCTTTAGCAGATCTAGTCCCAATTTGATACTGGGTCTGAGAAAATGTTGCACACTTTTTCAAAGCAAGGAATTCCTAATTCTTTAATCAGGGTCAGAACATCTATCTACTAATTTTTTTCTCGTGTGTTTTCAACTGGATTTGGTCGGTAATACATGTTCACAAGAGCCAAATGAAACGAAGTTTGAAGGCTGATCTTGATTTTGTCTCTTTATTGACTATTTCATTAAAAAAATGAAAGAATAAATCCAATGTACGGATCTCCATCAATTTCTGCGGATCTCAAGTTGGAGAAGGACGGAAGCTATAGAAACCCTAGTTAGTATGCTCAAGCTGCTGTTTTCATGACAGCGAAAGCTAAAATGAGAATCCATCAAGAAAATTTCAAAACTTGGTCCATAGAACTCAGCAAAGTGCAACACTTGGTATATCTGATCAATTTTAGTTTGCCTAATTAACTTTGCAGGGACAAATTAAAAAAGAAAGAGAAGCGCCCAAGGCAGCCTCGGTTTGCTTTCTTGACGAAGAGCGAGATTGATAATCTTGAAGATGGATATAGGTGGAGAAAATATGGACAAAAAGCAGTAAAAAATAGCGCTTACCCAAGGTATGATTTCCGGTCCAATTCATTTGCCGACTTTCTACATAAACATTCATACGCAAATCTTCGCGAACACTCGTGTCTCGAACGTCATTCTTGAAAAAAAGAGCCAACTTCTCTACCTTCAGTACATAGTCGACCGTTCCTTTAGTACTTAGTTTCTGGGAAGTGCGATTAAGTTTCCAAAAGTGATAATGGTTTGACAAGTTAGTAATCTTTAATACATAAGCAAATCCTTTGTTTCTTGGTCGGCATTCATCTCTTGGATGTAGTTATCTATAGCATTTTTTCAGCAATTCATGACCTCAATTTGGCATTTGGGTATGTATATTTTCCGGCTTGCTAGAGTAGGGATCTCGAAGCAAATTAAATTGTATCTTAGGGTACTTCTTGTTTACATGGTTTCTGCCTTCTCCCCTTCTTTGTAAAAGCTGTAATCTACACAATGAGTGCTTTCTTTGGATAAATACTTGATTGCCATTTTGAAGCCGTTGAGGAGTATTCAAATTGATTACTCCTATCATGACGGGATATGGCCTACCTTTTATTGTGATTGAAACCAATGCCTTATGATTGGAGGTAACCATCATTTTTACGAGGGAACATAAGGATTGATCGTCAAACATCGACATAGCGTGTTGGTATTCTTTTGTATTGACTCGTTCATTGACATTAAATCTAAAACTGTGTGAGAACTAAGGTACCTAGCTGGTACTTTAGCACAAGACAGCCTAAAACTATATCGCTTATTGAAATATGATTAGAATGAGATTTTACAATTTATGCAATGATTTGTAATGACCCTCTAATAATCTCTTTGAATTCTTCAACAATTGTAGAAGTTACTACAGGTGCACTAGCCAAGGATGCATGGTGAAGAAGCGAGTGGAGAGATCATTCCAAGATCCCTCGATCGTGGTCACAACATACGAAGGCCAACATAGTCATCACAGCCCCGCGACTCTTCGGGCCGGCAACTTTGCCGATATGTTAGTGCCTCCGAATCTCCGATCAACATGTCTTATGGAGCCTCCTTACTTTCAACAAGAGCTATTGGCTCAGTTACTCCAAATGGAAAGCATTCGCCAAGACGACCCAATGTCCAAAATCTACCGAAACTTGGACCCCGAACTCCAGTTCCGACTTCCTTGAGAATCTATATTTTTTCTGTAGCGAGGTGCTAGTGCATCAGTCGCAGAGAGAGCACCATTGAGGACTCCTAATCTCATGTTGCTTCGTAATTTGTATGGCATTATTGTTGACATACTAATGTGCCTATATTATGCCTATGTACATTAGTTCATTGTTATATGTTCTTGAGTTGTGCTTGATATGGTGAAAGAAGACGGTCGGACGTTTGTCGTTCTTGATTTATCTTTGTCATGCATATATTTGTTGCCTGCTCTTTACCATTGAAATGCACAGCTTTTCCGGGTATATTCTGTCAGATGAAAAAATGATTATTTCATCAATGATCCAACTCACCCGATAAGTTTGGTCACTTAATCACGCCTTAATATGTTGAGGCTCCACTAATCATAAACGGGCCAAAGCAGGCGGAAAAATTGCGAATGGCTAGATAACTATTGACACGATATGCACAAACAAATGTATAGAAAAGCTGTGCATAAACAGCATTAATGTGGACTAACAAATAAATTGTTAGAGATTAGCATTACATGGATAGTTTAAGGCAATTTATGGAAAAATTTAAGGTCACAAATGAAGCTCGCATTTCATACGGAGCTATTCACCGGCTCTGAATAACGGATGATCGACCTCGTTGTTGCAATATATGCTCTTCTTTATAATCATGCTTCATTGACATGGAAATTAATCGGTCGCCTTGATCAATCGATTGATTATATGTATATATACCTAGATACATCGCAGGAATCTTCAATTTGATGCCTAATAGTGGCCTGCTAACTGGCAGCAACATTAATTCTTTGGTCACGTAAGAAAGTAAACGGCCGAGGTTTAGTATTAGGAAAATTTTGACTGCGCATGATTTGTTGGAATGCATCTTTGCAGCTCTAGAATTATAGACCAACACCCTTAAAAGCAAGACTTCTAATCGATCAATTTGTAACGTCGCAAGTTCACATCAGTAGGAAGAGATTTCTAAGTCAGTATCCACTCACAAATGGCCACCACCTTGTATGGTTGTTCGGAGTCATTTTCTAATAGTTTGATCCTCGTGAAACGAGCCAAGCCATTGCACTATCTTAGCTAGAAAAAGTCAAGTGGTCTATTGTAGACAACTTTTTTGTCAACAAAAATGCCTAACCTTATCAGCAAAGCGACATAAGCCAACAAATCCATATGCATATACCCCCCCCCCCCCCCCCCCCCCCCCCCCCCCCCCCCCCCCCCCCCCCCCCCCCCCCCCCCCCCCCCCCCCCCGCCCCCCCCCCCCCCCCCCCCCCCCCCCCCCCCCCCCCCCCCCCCCCCCCCCCCCCCCCCCCCCCCCCCCCCCCCAAAAAAATTTTTCCTATATATATGTATGCTGCCCATAAGTCAACGGACTAACTTTTATTCAACACCAACTAAAAAGAGCGTGTGCTCTATATGTGCGTTGAAAATGGGAAAAACATTTGTAAGGGCAATTTGATGTACCTTGGGAAAGGATATCAAAATTATATATAGGATGAGAAAGATATGATTTATTCGTAAAATTTACAAGAATAATATGATTATTATATGGGCTTTTTTTTTAATTATCATTTTAGTCTATGGTCTAATAATAAAGGATGGTGCTAGCGTAACGGTTGCCGTCACCTAGAATTTCTGATGGTGGGATTTTGACCACAAGATTCAGTGAGAGATGGGCCAAAAAAGTGGTATCTTTCTAATTTATTTAAAGGAACAAATCAAAAGTGATAAGAATTAAGCAATAAATAATTTATAAGAAATTGAACTGCAACTTTTTAATGGACGATGAATATTGTTCAATCAAATAATAACAATCTCCGTTAAACATACAAATGAGTTACATTTTGTTCAATTTACATATTGAAATACAAGTGAGGTCCTAGTGTCGAAGCAAGAAAGATTCATCGATCAATCTCTTGATTTTATTGCAAGAAAGTGATGTACTTAATTTCTGTTGTTCGCTTTGAAAACATTATTTTTAGAAATACAATATTCAATCCTTTTTAGATAGATGCAGTGTATATTAGAGGTAAAGTGATTGATAAAGATGATGCCGATGACGAAAATGAGACCGATTGTTAGTGAAGGAGGAACCCTAACACAAAAGATATGGTGAAAGAGGGGTTAATTAAGTCAATGCGGTTATCCAACAATTGTGAGAATTCCTCTACCTGAGTCTCATGAGCCCAAAATAACAAGAGCCCCTTTCAAACCAACTTAAGTCGAGCACAAAGATTGAGGTGCCATGTAAAGTACAATAATATTTTCATTAGTTTAAAAAACAACATTTCTAATTTTTCTCCATAATTTTGAAAATTAATAAATATTTCCAATAACATTAATAATCTATTTTTAATGATATTATTTTCAGAATTCTTGTTATTTTATTTTAGTAGTTAAATTTTTTCAAATTAATTTTGTCTTCCTTTATTTCTTTTTCTTATATGTAAATCCCAACTGAGATTTTCTATTGCTGATTTTCCAAAGAAATTTAGTAAAAAAGAGTTAGTGGTGGAGAAGGCACCGTTACACTTCAAGAGTAACGGTGCCGTCAGTTCATCATTTCCCAATAATAAATGGTTATTACTCCATTTTAGTAGCCATCTACATCATTGAATTTTTCCAAAAAAAAGGAAAAATTTGAGGTTAAATTGAAGGTTGTTTTGTGATTGCTAGAGGGCTGCTGTGCGTTCCGCCACTGTCTTTTATATCCTTTATTCATATAATCATATTCTACAAATATGACTGTCTTTTTCCCACATTATTAAACAAGAACCGACTCTCACTAGTTCATCACCTCTTGTTAATCTTGTTGAGGAAAACTCCTAATAAATTTTGAAGCTGACAAAACTTTTTATATTTATATTGTAATTCTGACATGTATTTCATTCGAGGTTAATATATTCTGGAAGTTCAGAAGGAAATATCAGACTTTACAATTTCTCAGAACTAAAAGTTCAGATTCAGAATGAAAAGTTCAGACTTTACCATAAAAGTCATTCAGACTCAAATTCTGAAGGATTCAGATTTTACTGAAGACCTACGCTAACTCAGATTCTGAATGTAATGCAAGAATAAAAAATTCTTCAGACGCAGAAGCAAAACTCATTCAGAATAAATCACAACAGCCAGTGATCTGGCATGGATTTCACAGAAGAAAAGTTTTGACTGTCTCAATCAAAATCAATAATTGATTGAAAACACTATGACAAGTATGCACTTCAACGAATAAAACTCTACTTATGAAAATCAAGATTCTGATTGTTTGGGCGACCAGAATCAGCGGGATTCAGATTTTGTCATCCAACGGCTACTCAATCCATTTTATACAAATCTGTCCAAGTTGAATATTGGAAGATGATCCTCTGAAGATTGTCCAACGGCTAGTTTGGGAGTGGAGGAGTATAAAAGGAGATCTACGAGGAGCAGAAGGAGCGTGCGAAATCAAAAATCAACAAGTCCAAAGTCTGAGCATACCCCGATCCCTTCTCTTGTCTTTCTTTAGCTAAATACCAAGATCTTGAGGGATGCTTTGTAAGAGTGATTGTGTGAGATAGAGAGTCCTATCATACACAATAGTACTGTCACTCAGAATCTGTAATTTCTCTTGATTACATAGTAAAATCCAGCCGGTAGGCTGTCAGGGTGGGAGAGTGGACGTAGGCTTGCTATAAGCCGAACCACTATAAACTTGTGTGCAGTTTTTCTATCCCTTATCTCTTACTTTACATTCTGCACATCAAAAGCACTGTCTATATAAACTATGTTGAATCTGAATTTTATTCAGACTCAACTGTGATCAACCATTTCCGCTATAAATTGATCAAAATTGTTTAAGATCACCTATTCACCCCCCTATAGGTGATTCTTGCTAACTACATCAAATCTTAATTATAAGACGAAAGAAATAATGCCCCACATCAAACAAGCGCTTCATGAGCACCATGTCATCCAGCAGCACGGTCGGGATCGCGTCGCCGTCCCACGTCGCAAACCTCCGGAACGCGAGCGAGCACGAGATCAAGCTCTGCCTCGAGTTCTTCATATTCACGAACGCATCCTTGTACTTTGACCCCTCCATCATCGAGAGCGCGTCGCTGAGGTTGTTCGATGCCGCGAAGAGCGTGTCCCTACAGACCACTAGCGCTTGCTTTACCCCGGGGGACCTGGCGGTCCGTGAGAGCTCGTCGGCATGGTCATGGCCGTAGACAGCCTGACTGTACATGCAGAAGAGGACCGAGTACGTGAGCTCCGGAATGTACTCGGTGGGCTCCGACGACACGCACTTCTTGCAGGCGTCGAGCTCTAGGGTTTGGCTGCACAGGTTTTGAATGAAAGACGCGGCGTCGGCTTTCACGAAAGCCGAGGGCCGAGAGATTTGGAGGGAAAACAGGAAGAGGCAGATTGTGATGAAGAGATGAGTAGAGTTGAAGGGAGTCATCATCTTTTCCGCTTTGAAATGGTTTGAGTTGGTGATTCTGTTTACCCATCCATGTTGGAGAAGAAATGGTGGTGGGGTGGAGATTATCTTTATGAGGAAGGAGATCGGATTGAGGAAGTGATAACGTTTAATTGCTTCTTTCCAATTCAGAGTGTTGCATGAGGGAGTTCCTTGCAGGATCGTTAATGAACAGCTGTTTGTTTACTAGGCTGGCATGATACAGAATTTTCTTACTTGTAATTCAATATTACCAAATTAGAAAATGTCATACATAGATAGTTTAAGGATAGGGTCAAACTAGGGTACAGACATCATGTTCTATTTAGGGTTAATACCACGAAAAATCCCAAACTGGTATATTTGTGACATATTTACCCAAAATTAATTTTTTGACTATGAAAAAGCCCAAACTGGTACACCTGTGACAAATTTATCCTCTGTTAGTTTCCGTTAAATTTTACCGTCAAATTACTGAGTTAGATGATACATAACAATTGACGGGTGTACTAGTTTCGGGTTTTACCCCTCTGTTTATCACAGGTTTAACAATTTGTGATTTTTCGTGGTATTAATCTAATTTTACGGAGGTAAATTTGTCGCAAGTGTATTGGTTTGGGATTTTTAGTGGTCAAAAAATTAGTTTAAGGTAAATTTGTCATAGGTGTACCAGTTTGAGGTTTTTGATGATCAAAACATTAGTCCAGAGTAAATCTGTCAGGCTGCGTTTGATCGTCCAAATTTCTAACCAGGATATGATTGGATAGGATAGAAAATCAAA